TCCCCGGCCTTCGAGGCCTCCTCCTCGGTGTCCTCGAAAACCTCCGTCGCCCTCACCGCCCACGTCTGCAACTCCCCCTTCTCCATCTCCTCCCTGCGCCCCTCGCTCGTCGAAGTCGCCTGGGCCGCCCTGTAGCCGTGCTCCGACGCATCCGTCATGAAGGCCTTGTGTGACCACTCCGTCTCCAGGTCCGACTCGAAGTAGACAGAGCGAGGCGAGGCAGAGGATCTTGGAGATGACCCTCTGGGGGAGTGACCTCACTGCGTCGTTCGGGCCCTCAACCTCCTTCAACCGCACATAGACCGCCTCCAGGATAGCAAACCCAGGTCTCGCAATCATCAGGGCCAAGTCCACATCCCAAGAAGCGATGCTAGAGTCGAGGGGCGGCAGGGCCGAACACATATAAGCGCGTCGGTCGCCAGAACGATCTCCATCACCCTGCCCTCGTGAACAATGGCGCGATAGGGCCTTCCAACAATCGCGAGGCCCAAGCCTTTCTCTAGCCCAGGTCCCCACGTCTCCTCGTGCACCTCCAGCCCCTCCCCGACGGGGATTTTCTTGACGACCTCCTTGTCGACCTCCACCTGCTCCGAGCCCTCGTCGTAGAGCCTCGGCCCGATGTAGTCGTCGACGCGCAGCAGCAGAAGCAGGTCGTAGTTCGCACGCGAAGGCGCGCCCATCCCGTGCGCAAGCTGTCCTGACCTGACCGGGTTGATGCCTTGCAGCGAGTCGGACAGGCACGAGTGGGCCAAAAAGACGGCCCAATAGTGACCCATCATGGGCGCGATCGCCCCCACCCCTACGTCGTCGGGGTCGGGCCTGGGTATCTTCACCCCCTGCTCGGTCGGGTGCGCCCGCAGCTCGCTCGGGGACAGCAGTTCCAGCACGCAATGCTCCGCGAGCTCCTTCGGCCATCGAAGTCGGTAGAACCAGTCTGGGATGTCGCCCGAGAAAGTCAGCAGCTCCTGGCCCTTCAGCACTTCCTGCGATGGGGCCCAGTGAGGCGAGAGCGCTCGGCGACCCCAAGCCGGTCCAAGGTGGCATCCTGAATCGCAAGATGAGGCGGCGGCAAACCCGGACCAGCTTCGACTTCTCCACCTTGTTCGGGGGCCCCTCCGCCGTCGACTTGACCACCGTGAAAGTGCATACCTTTTCACTCACCTCCTCGGTGGAGACCAGCATTCCCGCGCGCCACATCTCGAGCGCCAGCTTCCTTCGATTGGTGCTCCGCTTCCACCCTGCGTCGGTGAAGCTCGACGTGGCCTCGTACTTCGCCCAGTCGACCTCGTCGTGCGTCCTCAGCATCAGCCCCTTTCACGTCGCTCAGGAAAGGCAGGGCCGCGGGCGACAGATCCGCCACCGCAAGTCCCTTCGCCCCAGGCGCTGTGGTCGACACCTCGCCCGCCACCATGCCGCACTGGCCCCCCTTCTTGAGAACCCCCTTGCCTCTCTCTCTCTCTCGCGTTCGCCCTCTCGCGTCCACTCAGCCCTCCGCCCAGACGGCTGAGAACCGTCCTGCCATCGGCGACGCCCCCCCAGCTCGCTCTCAGCGCGAACCTCGACCACGAATCCTTCGCGATCAGGACCTGGATCGGCGTCGCCCTCTTCCAGGAGTCGTGCGTCGGCTCGGCGCGCAACTCGTCGTCGACCTTCGCGCCCCCTTGGGCCGAGCACCTGGTGCTCGCTAGAGCCCGCTCTAGTCTCCTCCAAGTCACCCTCGGCCCGCTCTAGTCTCCTCAAAGTCTCCTCCAAGGCACCCTCGTCTCCTCCAAGGCACCCTCGGTAGAGCCCGCTCAAGTCTCCGCCTCGTCCACCCCCGGGAGATCCACCCCCCATTTGAAACCGCTCTTGCTGTCGCAGGCGACTCCAGAGGTCAGGCAGGGCAGGCGTCGAAGAGGATCCCTCTCCCTCTCGTCCAACCTCCTCCTCCTCCTCCCTCTCTCCCTCCCTCCCTCCCTCCCTCCCTCCCTCTCTCGTCTAACCTGAACTGTGGGCCCGAAGAGCACCTCGACATCGCCCATATGATAATCACCACCTTGCCAGAACTGATCGGCCCTGATACGCAAAGCGCAGGGCCAGCCGATCATCATCAGCACCGCGCACAGGTAGACGGCGAGCACACCCCTTCCCCTCGTAGCCGACCTGCACAATTTGACATCCAAGAAAGGAAAGCTACACGGACTGGCGCGTATCGCGCTGGCGTGGCTAAGGGCTGCCGTGCAACCCTCAGCCGCAACCTATTCGTCCGCGCGGGCCCTGTCACTATCAGGTGCTTCGTGATCGTGGCCCTCTTGCTCAGACGCTCGGCTACTTCATCGTCAGCTGCCTCCGCGGACGGTCGACCCCCGTCCTGTATCTTCAGAAACTCTTCGCAGTGCGACCAGTTGACCTTGCTCTTCCACTTGCCGCCGTTGGTGTGCTTCGGCCTCGCCCAGTCGCTCTCCACCTCCACGTCCTGGTATGCGTTGGAGATCGAGTACAGCCTGAGGCACGTCAGCTCCGCCGCCTGGAAGTTGATCAGCGCGTCGTACTCTCCGCTCGTCATCGTCCTGTCCAGCACGCACGCGAGCATCATCACATCGCTTGCGATCGAACACTTCGTGAGCTCCTTGTCCTTCAGCCACTGTGCGATCTCGCTGTGCCGACCGACCATTCCTGCACAGCCTGGACGGGATGTCGGGCGCGACCCTGGCCTTCACCCCTCCGATCCTCGCCCCGGGCACGTCCCTGTAGCTCTTGAGCGTCGCCAAGAGGCCCTCCTTGGGGTTATTCGCCTCCTCCGCCAGCTGGCCCAAGGTCTCCTTCGCGGCCGCGTCGCCAGGCGAGGCCCCCCCCCCGCGATCCCACAGGGGGGGACGTCGGAGTGGATGAACTTCCACGCGCGCCCTTCGCCGAGTCCGCCTGCGCGATCCCCTCGTGTTCCTGCAACTTGGCAAAGAACTGGTCGGCCGCTGCCTGCGACGGCGCGGGCGGGGCCGACGTGTCCTCGGCGTCGGAGAAGTCCAAGTGCTTCCTCGGCGTCTCGGGCTGCGTCTCCTTCGAGGCGAGGGCGCCTGCAAGCGTGGCGATGCTGCGCTGTAGAGGCTGCTGTCCCCTCGAGAGCTCCGCGAACAGGTGCCGTGCTTCAGGTTCATCGTCAGAGTCTGCCACCTGCGTGCCCTGGATTGTCTCCCCATCCGAGTCCGAATCGCCCCCCGCCCCCGAGCCATCCCTCGCAGCAGAGTAACCCCGCCACGAGAAGTAGACCAGAGCCAGGATCATGACGCCCCCATGATGATGCCCTCCAGCTCGCCCGACGCGACCATATCCTGAACCGTCTCGCACCAGGACTGCGCCGTCTCCGTCGCCTCATAGATAGACTCGAACGTCTCGTAGACCGCCCCGATGACCGCGCCGAGCCCGAATCATTTCCAGGCCCTCCATGCCACGAAGACGCCCGCGAAGATGGATCCGCCCATGCGATTCAGCCAGACGTACCCTCCGATGTTCATGGCAGCGCTGGCTACCCACCAGAAGAAACTGTCTGTCTTGCTACTCTTGCGTTTGGGCGGGTCATACTTCTTCTTGGGGGCGCCCTTCACCTTGGCTCCCGCGTCCTCCATCTCCTTGCGGGCTATGAGACGTTCACTTGCGCCAGTACTGCATCACGCCCTTTCCCAGAAACACTCCTGGGTACTCTTTCCACGTATGTTGTGCATTCGGCACAGAGAAGACCTTCGACTTGTCTCTCAAGCTGATCTGCTGCACGAGTAGCGTGGGGTCGCAGGCCGTCCATTTCGTCGACGACGCACTTCCCACGCGGAGGATCAGCAAGAAACAGTTGCCAGCCGTCTCACTCGTGCGGTAGTACACCCGGTTCCATCTGGCCCAGGGCGCCATGACGCCCGCTCGTGTGCCACGTGTGACCGGTCCTTCGATGGCACCGTCGTCGACGTAGGCATCGACCTCGTCCTGACCATCGTCCGCCGCCGCGAAGCCGAGCATATAGTCCCCTTCCACCGTCAGCTCGCCTGCTTGCCACCCAAGCAACCCCGCAACGAAGTACCAGTGGAGCTGCGTGGCTCCTGGGGGCGCGCGCGTCCGCCACCTGCGGTGCTGGGCTCGCATGGTATGGAAGCGCTTGCAGTTCTCCCAACCCCAGAGCCTTAACTTTACGCACACAAGGGAGCGAACGAGAGAGAGAGAGAGGGAGGGAGAGAAAGGGGACGGCCAAGGCAAGGGGGGTAATTAGCTACATAAAAAGTGCGTTTTGAAAACATGTAACGGGCACCTCCCGGGAGGGGGGGAGAAGAGAAAGAGGAGGAGGAGGAGGAGGAGGAGGAGGAGGAGGAGGAGGAGGAGGAGGAGGAGGAGGAGGAGGAGGACGAGGAGGACGAGGAGGAGGGACGAGGAGGACGAGGAGGAGGACTAGGAGGAGGACGAGGAAGGGGATTTAGGGGGAGGAGCTGGGGAGAGGAGGGAGGATGGGGGAGAGAGGAGGAGGAGGGATGAGGAAACATGGAAGGGAGGGAGGAGGAGGGAGGAGGGAGGAGGGAAGGAGGGGAGGACGAGGAGGGGAGGGGAGGAGGGAGGAGGGGGAGAGGAAGGGACGAGGGAAAAAGGGGAGGAGGGGAGGAGGGAGGAGGGTAAGAAGAGGAGGAGGAGGACGGGAGGACGGGAGCGGGACGGAGAACGGGAGGACGGGAGAGGAGGATGGGGAGGACGGGAGACGGGAGGAGGGGGAGAAGGGGGAGAGGGAGAAAGGGGAGGAGGGGAGGAGGGGGGGGGGGGAGGACGGGGAGGAGGGGGGAGGAGGGGGAGGAGGGGAGGAGGAGGAGGGGGGGATGGGGAGCGGAGCGGAGCGGAGGGGAGGAGGAGAGGAGGGAGGAGGAGGAGAGGAGGGGGAGGAGGAGGAGGAGGAGGAGGAGGAGGAGGAGGAGGAGGAGGAGGAGGAGGAGGAGGAGGGAGTTCCCCGAGGGGCGGAGGGAGTACAGCTCCCCCGGCTGTGGCCTGTCGGGGAGGCTGCTAGCGCGGCCGCGCGTGGCCGGCGGCACTGGCGCGCTGTACCTGGGCGTGGACCGCAGGGGCGCCGCCGTGCCATCGCGCCGCGTGGAGGGCCTCAGGGCCGAGGGCCGCGGGCTGCCTCGGGCGCGCTGACGAGGGGGCCAGGGACCCTCCTCCTCCTCCTCCTCCTCTTCCTCCTCGTCCTCCTCCTCCTCCTCCTCCTCCGCTCTCCTCCTCCTCCTCCTCCTCCTCCTCCTCTCCTTCCCATCCGGAGTGCTCGTCGGCGGCACACTCACGGGGGAAAGGCTCTGGGCCTCCTGGATGGGGTCTGAGTACATGGGGTCGGAGGATCGCGCCGCATCGGCGAGGCGGCGCGATCCCCCGACCCCATCCACTCAGACCCCATCCAGGAGGCCTCTGAAGGCAGAAGGTCGGGAGCCTTGAGACGGGGGTCGGTGTAGACGGGGTCAGCCAGAGCGCCGGATCTTGCAGGCTCCTGCAGAGCCAGGGGTGCACCGACCTGGGCTCGGGCGCAGGATCCTGCAGGATCCTGCATTATCCTGCACGGCCTGACTGACCTGGGTTTGGATTGACCCGCGTCAGTAGCTCCCCGCGAGGGGGCGGGCCCTCGCATCGGGCCCAGAAGGCCTCCAGAGCCTTCCGAGAAGCCTTCTGCGAGCTTTGTCCGGAGACGCGGGTGGCTTCTCACGGGGCAGGATGGCTTCTGAGAAGCCACGCCGCTTTCTGAGAAGACCTGCACCCACTCACCTCCTCCGTCGGCGCGCCACCGAGTTCAAGCAGTGGCGAAGCGTCTTAGCTTGCCCACAGGCTCACCAAATAATGTTCTAAGAACCTTTTAGTGGTTCGCACGAGATGTTCTTAGAACGTTTCTGGCCGAGACTGTCTTGTCTTGATACATCGGGTGTATGATGTAATAACATTGTTTTTGTTATTGGGACATGTCTGGGTCCGAAACAAATCATTCGTTGTAGGCCTACAGGAATGCCGGGACGGTCGTTCCCTGCTCAACGAGTGGGTTTCCCAGTCAGAACTCCAGTCTCCAGCGGCCGCTGCTAAGTTTGGGGCCACTTTCGACCTTTGGGGGCGCTGTGCAGGGCCCCTGGGCTGCCCATCAGAAAATCAGGCTGAAGAGCTGGTTCAAGGCGGGGGGGAAGGTGATGAAGGGTTCACGTCGTCGGAGGTCTGGGAATCGATTCTTTCCAGAGTAGACGATCTTCAGGCACAGCAGCAGAAGTCAGAGCACTCGTTGTTTCATCAGCGCACAGGACCTCGTTCAGAAACTGCCCGTGTCGTGCCAACGGCTGCGCTGAATGGACTAACGAGGGGGCATGTTGCGAACGGATCACGACATCGGGGTCCTGAAAGGTTCCTCATCGTGTGGAGCCGATTCCAGGTTTCGGGTCGTCGATGGGCTTCTCCGTGCCCCCAGAGGCCTCAGGCGGTCCTCCAAGAGTTGACAGCCAAATCTTCAGCGGATTGATAACTCTTCTCCGTTCCAGCGCTTTTGAAACTCAAGCCGTGGGAGGTCTGGGGAGGAGGGGCTGACCCGCAACCGCCCACTTTTCGCCGATGGGGGATGGAGTGCTTCATCATGTTCAGTGGCCAACGCTCAGTCTCGCACAGCCGGGGCCCTGAAGAAGGAACCCTTTTCGTTGGGGAGGGGCTCCGCGTTCCTAGAGTGTTTCGCAGCTTGCCTCAGGTTTTCCTTAGGTTTTCGATACGAAATCGAAGTTCAACTTGTGGAAAAAAGGGGCCTCGTTCCTTATTTAGGGTTCCTTAGGTCAACATCCCGACTGTACTCGGGGACCTCTCGCTGGTTCTTCGGCGATGGACCGTCGACTCCAGGCCGGCGCTGCCCACCCTGTGCCCGGCACCCTCCTCGGCTGCCCCCTCAGGACCTTGGTGGCACCACGGTCTCCGTGGGGCTCGTCGACGACGACGGCGCACTGCAGGAGAGCATCGTTCTGTGGTGCTGTCGGGCGGGCTCTCCGGGAGTGCCCCAGTCGTCGTTGCCCCTCTGTGCCCGCCCTGGGCCATCTTTCCCGCCCTGGTTACCCAACATCTCCCTCTTCTGGCAGGGGCAGGCTCGAGCAGCGTTTGTCAGTCGGGTAGGCTCGCAAGCGCAGGCCCACCTCCTAGCTGAGATGTTAAGCGGCTGGGCATGCCATGCCCAGGAGAAGGAGAAGGAGAAGGAGGAGGAGGAGGAGGAAGAAGGGGAGGGGGAGGAGGAGGAGGAGGAGGGAGGAGGAGGAGGAGGAGGAGGAGGAGGAGGAGGAGGAGGAGGAGGAGGAGGGAGGAGGAGGAGGAGGAGGAGGAAGGGAGGAGGAGGAGGAGCCTGACCCACTCCCCCGCGCAAAGCTGACCAGTGCAGGCCCTCCTTGGGCCCTGCCGCTCCTCCTCCTCCTCTCTCCTCCCTCATCCTCCTCTCCTCCCCTCCACTCTCCTCTCCTCCCCCTCCCTCCTCCTCCCCCCCCCCTCTCTCCCCCTCCTCCCCTCCCCTCCTCCCCTCCTCCCTCCTCCCCTCCCCCCCTCTCCTCCCTCCTCCTCCTCCTCCTCCTCCCCTCCTCCTCCTCCTCCTCCTCCTCCTCTCCTCCCCTCTCCCTCCTCCTCGTCCTCCTTATCCATTATTCGCATCGCGGCTCCCTCCCCTCCCTCTCCCCTCCCTCTCCCTCCCCTCATCTCCCCTCCCCATCAACGTTGCACGTTCCCCTCCCTCTCCCTCTCCCCCGTTCCCCCCTCTCCCTCTCCCCTCACCCTCTCCCTCCCCCTAGCGCCCTCCTCACCCTTTCTCTCCTTCCGCCCCTCCCCCCTCCCCTCCCTGTCATCCTCCCGCGAGCGGCGCGGCAGGGCGACGTCCGGTCCGCGCTGCTCAGCGACGTCTGCAGCGCGCACACGCCCGAGAGGGTGGCGGCCTGCATGGCCAGGCTCGCCCAGGCAGCCTCGCCGTCCTCCTCGGGCGCAACGCTGGTGGGGGGGAATCGGCTTCCTGGGTAGTCGAAGGCCAGACTGTCAGACTGGATTGGGCCCCACGGGCCAATCTGGCCTGGCCATACTGGAGGATTTGGGTTATTCGCCAGACTGGATTCGCGTTGGCTCCCTCGCCAGATTGCCCCCGTTTGCCAGATTGGGCCTGCCAGATTGGCGCCAGATTGGCTTCGACTACCCAGGCTTCGCGGGGGAACGCATCGAACCCCAGTCGCCCATTCCTCGAGGGTTTCGAGGGTCGAGGTTCTCGGGTGTTTTCGTGTCGCCAATTCTCGGGCGATCGCAAACGTGGAGCAAGGGGGCGTGGATTAGCGACGGGCCCCGGTTCCATGGGAAATTGCGAATTTCCGCCGCCGAAGGAGGCGGCACCGGCCGCATTTTTGGGGGAGGGCATTTCCCCAGACCCATGGATTTGGCGACCGCGCGCCAAATCCATGGATCGCTGATCCTCAAGGGCAGAAAAAAACGCCCCTACCCTGGTTTACGAGGCGCTGTGCTCTGAAACTCCTGTGGGCTGACAGGGTAAACCCTGCGTGATGTGCCGCGTCCTGGCGGCTCTAGGCTTTGGGGGTTCCCATGAGGTTTACAGACCACGCACTTGTAATCCAGGGTAGGGTCGTTTTTTCATCCCTCAAGATCCATGTTTGCGCGCCCTCGACATTCATCGAGGGTTTCGAGGGTTGACGTTTTCGGGTGTTTTCGTTGGGTATCGGCGGCGTCCCAGCCTCAGGGACCCTTTCAGCGACTGCGCCTTGCCGAGAGCGTTCTGGGGCTGCCTGGGTCGTCCCGAACGGCCGTCGGCACTTCGACGGCCGTCCGGGACGTACGGGATCCGAGGCGTTGGTTGAGAGCCACCAGGGATGGGGATGCGCTCAGGGGGGTTTCATCGACCCCCCGTCGCCCATTGATTCATCGCCGACAGGGGCCTCACAGCACACCCCGTCCACGAACGCGCGGGTTCGCTGGCGTCGCCGATTCCAGGCAGAGTTGTCCCCCCTGAGATGAATTCCCCCCTGTCGTTCCCCCTCGACGCCTTGTGCTCATCGTTGCCAGCGTCGCCCTCGTACGAGTTCTCGTGCTTATCCTGTTCGCCTGTGTCGTCGTCGTCTTACAGTCAACGCGTATAGTCCGGACGCGCGCTGTTTCTGGGTGCCCTTGTGTCCTTGCCGCTGCGGCCCGTCCTTCACCACTCCCACTGGCCAGCCTCTCAGGCCGCCGCGCAACAGATCCCAACCTCGGCCTCCAAGGGTTTGCGTCCTTCCCGCCCGCCCTTCCTACACGTTTTCTCTGACGTTCCTGGCCTTCCTCCTCGGCATCCTCGCCGCGCCGCCTGGCTGCCGCGCGGCCATGCACGGCTCACCGCGAGCAGCTCGTACCGAGGGGAGCGCGACAGGGGGGAGGGACCGCGGCCGTGCCAGGCCGAGATGCGGCCTCTTCCGCCTTCCCCTGCCAGGGGTCGACCCAAACGGTGTGTCGGCGATTCCGTGGGCCGTTCTCGTTCCGATCCCGCTCTGCAGCAGGGGCGGACTGGAGGCAGACAGCGAGGGCAACCGGAGCCGAAGCGCACACGAACGGCCACCGTGTTGGTCGAGTCCTGTTGCCCGCGCGCTTTCCGGCGGCACCCTGGCACCGCTCGGACGTGTGCATTTTTTCTCGGCGAGAAACATCGAGGACCATCCTGGATCTTCAAGCAAAAAAACACGCACGAAACCGACAAATGCACGGGAAATGGACGTCCGAGCGACGGCAAGAGCGGGGGTGGCGGGGACGTGGGGGGCGCAAGCGGGCTCCGTCCCACAGGTGCCGCGCGGAGTTGCCGACACCTCTTCCTCGTCGGAGGGGAGGCGGAGGGTGGCGGCAGGTGAGGTGCGGGCGGCCCCGCCCCCGGCGCCCAGCGGAAGTAACAACTGTACCCTCAAGATACGCGAACCTTGGTTGGGTCAGGCTCTCCGGAGCCCGCCGTGGGTACCCATCGGTCGTTGAAAGTACCGAGCATTTCCTTGAAATGCCGTTTTGATTGATTCTCGAGGCTTGAATCTGCAAAAGGTGAGTCACAAAACGACTTGTTTTTCGAGGTGCAACCGCCCATCTGGATTTCACCTTGAGCCCTCCACCCTAAGAGAACGCTCAGAAGTAAGTATTTTCGGAGTCCCAGGTTCCAATCTACTTCAGCGCCTTCCTACTTCAATGGTCGAGTGGATTCACTTTTTTCCGTCCTCCCAAGAGGGCGGGCGGGCACCCAATCTGTTTTCAACGCCTGCCTACTTCATGTTTCTACATACTTCTTCCGACCGATGGGTACAGTCATGGGCTTGGCATCGCTCGGACGTGTGCATTTTTCCTTCGGAGAGGACCGTCGAGGAGCATCCTTGATCATTTGGCGGAAAAAAAAACACGCACGAAACCAAATAACACAGGGAATGGACGTCCGAGCGATGGCCAGTGGGGGGTGGGCTGGGGCGTGGGCTAGGACCCTAGCCAGAAGTAGGGGTGCCCGGGGGGTCAGTAGCGCATCTTGGAGCTCCAAGGTCGGTTCCACGGCTCCCAAGGCCACCCAGGATGGCTCCCGGGATGGGGCTCACTGCGGCACCAGATGGCTCGCTCCAACACTGCTCCAGAGGCTCCGGAGACGCCCCAAGAGCGGCTTAAGAGAGCTACCAAGAGGCCCTCGAGAGGCAAACTTTATCGATCTCCTTTGTGTGTGTGTGTTGAAGGATTTGGGCATTACCGAAGTGTCTGTCTGAAGAGCGTCCAAGACGGCTCAAGAGGCCCCCCAAATAATTCCCAGGCGGCCCAGATGGGACCCACGAGTGCCCTCAGCCAGCCCTGATGCGGGCCAAGAGAGCCAAGAAGGCCAAAGAGGGCCGCAGGACGGCCCAAATGATGACTAAGAGGGCTCCAGGGCGACCCCAAGAGATTTCAAAGACGGCCTGCCTCGAGGGGGCCCCAGACGGCCCATGAGAGCGCCAAGGCAGCCCAAGAGGAGCCCAAGAGGAGCCCAAGACGGCCCAAGAGGGCCCCATGAGGTCCCTATGAGGGTCCAAAAGAGAAAGCTCCCCGAAGAGCCCATAGACGGCCCCAAGATGGGCCTCTAAGCGGACCCTCACAATTGAACCACAGTCGATTCGAGCGTTCCACTGATTATCAGGCACTCTTGCGCTGCGCTTCGCACTGCTCGGCCACGCAGGGTCCTCCCCGAGGCAGGGGGCGGCGGTGGCTCGCTGTTTGGCGTCTTCGATGCATGTCCTTCTGATCCAAAGAGGAGGAGGAGGAGGAGGAGGAGGAGGAGGAGGACCTCCGTCCCCTCCCTCTGCGTGCATGCTCCTCTGCTTCCTCTGTGCACGATCTTCCTCCTCGCCTCCTTCGTTCCCAGCATATCCCAAGGCTGCGCCACGAGTGCCCTCACATCGTTCAACATGTTCCTCCTCGCCTCTTCGCGCCCAGCATATCACGAGGCTGCGTCACGAGCGCCCTCACGTCGTTCAACATGCTCCACCCATTGAAGCATTCATTAGGCTCGTTGGGCAGTTTCTGGAACTTCAACTGCTGGGCTCAAGCAGCTCTAAGGGGTCCCTGGCAGATGCTGTAGAGCGCCTTCGAAGGCCCCCATGGAACCCTAAGATACCATCGACCCCCTGCGGATCTGGATTACCATGGCACGGTTTCTTTGCCTCGCTATTCTCTGGCGTGCAATGTAGCTAGAACGCGCGCGAAGCGCGCGATTATCCCAGCAAGTATGTATGGCTCCGTATGGCAAGACTTGCTTGTAGCAAGTGGCGACGACCACGAGGACGACGAGGATTGCCACTAATACTGGCTACCTCTGCAACTGCGACGACGAAGACGACGACGACGACGACCACGGCGAAGACGACGACGACGGCAAAGACGACGACGATGCCGACGATAGCGACGGCGTCGGTGCCTGCCGCCGAGGAGGCGCTGGCCTCAGCCGGGCGCGCGCTGGGCGAGGCGTGGCGCCGTCCCCACCGACGCTGCCGCCGCCGACGACGCCGACGAGGGGGCTGTCCTTCTCGTTGCTCCAGCGTCTGACTCTGCACAAAGCTTACACCGCTCAGTATCGTTGAACCGACCCCTGTCCCCTATCCCCATCCCCATCTCCATCCAGACTCCCACCAACTCAGCACCTTAGTTGAGGATATACCCTTCGACATCCGAAGGGGATAGCATACACCATCTAGGGAGGCTCATCGGCCTGTGGGGCCCATGAGGGACAGGGGTCGGCTAAGCGATGCTCAACCGCAGAGCACCGTGTGTTCCCTGTGGCTGGTTTTGTTCAGAACCCCATCTTTGGCGACTTCCTTCGGCCACCGATACCGTTTTGGGGAGAGGGAACACGGGGTAGGGCGCCACGTCCTCGTGCTCCCTGTGCATGCTGCATGGCGCTCGCATCTGCCGCGCCAGTCACTGGAGGTCGTGGCCGCGGAGACCACGGGCAGCGCTCAGGATCAAGCAGTGGCGAAGCGTCCTGGCGTGCCTATAGGCCCATCAAACAATGTTCTAAGAACCTTTTGTGGTCTGCACAACATGTTCTTAGAACATTTCTGGCTGGGACTGCCTTGTGTTGACACACAGGGTTTATGTTCTTAGAGGGCTTCTGTTGTTCTTAGAACATTTTTGGGTTCTGAGAACATGTCGTGGTAGGCCTCCAGACATCCCCACAATCTGTGCGCGAACGGGGAAGTGACATACCCCCTAGCGGCTTCCCCTTGAGGTGTTCATGTGCTGTGCTTGCTGCATCGCGGCGATCGCGCGCGAGTCTGAGTATGACGAGCGAGCATGGGTGGGCCTGATTTCGAGTGACAGAGAGTGGGTAAGACTGAGTGCGAATCTGCATACGAGTGAAAACGGGAGGGAAAACGGAGGGAGGGAGGTGGAGGCATCACAATATTAAGAAGGGCCCCAGGGAATAAGCGATTGGATCGCATAGGAGTCGACTGGACGCATAGCCAGGGAGCCATAACCATACCCATGGGAATGCCAGTGCACTCCATGTGGCTTGCGCAAGAGCACATCTGATTACATAAGAACCTGTAGAATGCGTCGGAATCGGTAGGATGACGTAGTATCTTACAGGAACGCATCGGGAGGAATAAGACTACGTATAGGCCCCTTACTCCCCCCGACTACCTCAATTTTCCATTGCTAGCTTCTGCCGCGACCCCACAGGAAGTAAAGCCGTTCTGGAATTTCCGTCTCACACAGGAAGCTCCAGGGATACGTAGGAAAGTATTGGAATACAATCGAATATTTAGGATCTGATAGGAGCACACAGGCGAAGGTAGGAGTCGATTGACATACTTGCCTTGCATCAGTGCTGGTGTGAAATTGAATGAATATTGTGCAAGCAAGCCTATTGGGCAATACTATGTGCAGAAGCCAATGCTACTGAACTTACGCAGATGCCTGTTGATGACAACAAGTGCCTGGATTCCCTCTGCTGTGAGTCCCCTCCGCGGGCCTGCTGCCGCCGCTGCTGCTCGCGGTTCGATGCATTGGTTAAGACGGCATTACAAAGTCCTCCAGCAGGAGATGCGGCGCGGAACTCGGGGTGCGCGCTGTTCTGTGAGACCCGTGCTCACAGGTGGGCTTCCGTACAGTGGAGACCCGTGCCAAGAAACACCCTGCCTGCCTCCAGGGTGCCCCGGGTTTCTTTGGCTGCGATGGCTCTGCCATGGGATGCGCGACGCTCTCACACCACACAGCAATGGACGCCCTGGGTTTTCGGGGTTGGGCTTCTTGTGAGTTCCTTGTAGTCGGGCTCCTACTTTCGGATGTAACTGGGAGGTCAGATTCTGATTTTGTCCTGGTCCGAAATCTGGCTTAATCCCGCTCAATCCGGCTTAATCCCGCTTAATCTCCGGCTTAATCCTGCTAAGTCCGAGGCCCTTTCCGGCGTAACAGCTCCCAAATGGGGCTTACTCTTCCGAAATTTTTCCGACGATGACCTCCCAGTAGTTGCCTCCTATTTTCAGCCAGTTCGGCTCGAGCGCCCAGGTTTTTTTTTCGGGGGAGGCCATGCCGCTGCTGCGCGCGGGGCGCGGGCGCCGGCGCGCGCCCGCCTGCGCTGCACGCCCGCGGGCCGCGGCGGCATGAGCGGCCGCCGGTGCTCAAGCAGTGGCGAAGCGTCCTGGCGTGCCTATAGCCCCACCAAACAATGTTCTAAGAACCTTTTGCGGTTTCCACGAAATGTTCTTAGAATATTTCTGGCGGAGTCTGTCTTGTTTGAACACATCGGGGATATGTTCTAAGAACATGTCGTGGTAGGACTATAGGAATGCCGGGACGGTCGGTCCCTGCTCAAGGTGCGGGGGCTGAGGAGCGCCGTCGGCAGGCGGCCTCCGGGCGGTCATGAGCAGCCCGGGCGTGGTCCAGGTCAGGGCTCGAGCCAAGCGGTGTTCGTCAGAGGGCGCGCTGGACCCAGACTCAGACTCCCTCGAGGAATGAAAACATCATGACGGAATGTTTTCCTTAATTTTCGGCCTCCGAGGGCCCTCGCTGGGCCTCGGGAGCGTCAAGAAACGACTCAGGATGCAAAGCTGGTCAGGGGGAAAGGGTCGGGACCTTTGGGGGTCGACGCATTGAACAAAAATCATTGCGTCGGGGGTCCGGGGGTGTACAGTCGGGGCGCTGAAGAAGGAACCCTTTTCGTTGGGGAGGGGCTCGGTGTTCCTTGATTGTTTCAAAGTTTGCCTCGGGTTTTCCTGGGGTTTTCCATGGGAAATCGAGGTTGAACTTATGGGAAGAAGGGGCCCCGTTCCTTATTTAGGGTTCCTTAGGTCAACGCCTCGACTGTACCTCCACCCCTCCGCTCGTTTCTCCTCTCGTTCGGCCTGCTGGGAGGCCCTTTGGTCGCCACCTCTGGACTGGCCTCGAGGTCCTGGTCGGGATGCACCGCAGGAGAGGTCTCGGGGGCAGCGGTATGGGCACCCTTTGCTACCAGCCTGGAGCATATCCCTATCCCGATGCTGGGAACCTCCTCATTACGATGCCAATCTTAGGGGTTCCCGTATTTTTTGAGGGCGAGTCCCTGAGATTGTCATCGCCTTTTGGCGTGTCAATCTTAGGGATGGGGATACGTTCGAGGCTGGTAACGTTGGTCTCCCCAGCTTGGGCGATATTTCGGGGGCCGTGTTCGCTTCGACTTCGTCTCGCAGTGGAGGCGGAACGAAGACGCGGAGCGAAGGAAGACACGAAAGCAAAACGAGCACGAAAGACACGGTTTCGAGTGTGCTTAGGAGGAGGAGGAGGAGGAGGAGGAGGAGGAGGAGGAGGAGGAGGAGGAGGAGGAGGAGGAGGGAGAGGAGGAGGAGGAGGAGGAGGAGGAGGAGGAGGAGGAGGAGGAGGAGGAGGCGGAGGAGGAGGAGAAAGGAGGAGGAGAACGAGGAGGACGAGGAGGAGGAAGAGGAGAACACGACGGCAAAGCGGGCCCTTGGTCCAGGTCGTGCAGCTCCTGTGTGCGGCGGCCAGCGGCGACGCGCGCGTGCGGGTGCCGGCCCACGGACGCCTGCAGGAGTCGGCTACACGCAAGAGTGACCCTGGGTAAGAGTGACCTTTGGTGCGCGGCTTTGGGGGGGCCGCGGGGAGGCCAGATCCAGGCGCGCCAGCCGCTGCTGCCGCTTCGCGCTTGGCCATCTGGGGGCCCATCTGTGCCCGCACCAAAGGTCACTCTGGCGAAATGTCACTCTTACGTCTGGTCGAAGGAGCTGGAGGCGCGCCCGGGCTTTGTGTCCGTGCTGCTGGAGGCCTACGCGGACGGCGCGGTGGAGCCGCAGGGGCGGCTGCTCGCCATCCTGATGAGCTCGGGGGCAACTAAAACGACGCGAAGATCGGGACAAAATCGGGTCGGGATAACTCGAAATCTCTGAGAATCGGCGGGTTTGGAGGATGTATTGGGCGCCGCGGCCGCTCCAGAGCGTTCCAGAACGCTCTGAGAGCGCTCCTGAACGCTCTGGAGCGATTTATCCCGATCCTAGCCCTGTTTTAGATAGGGACAGGGGGGGGATATCAGGAGGGAAAAAAAAACACAGACACAATTAGTCGTCCATTCCCTAGAACATATAATAAAAGATGCGAAGTGGGGGGCAGACAAAAACCCAGAACATGTGGGAAAACATGGGGGAATCCTGTTGTGTGTGTGTGTGTGCATTTCTTTGTGTGTCCCAGGGCCCCTTCAGGATAGGCATACAGGGGGGGATGCATCGACCCCCAAGTTCCGAGGCGGGAATTTCTACACATCCACCGCCTAGAGGGTCAGTCTTCGGAGCCTCGGCAGGCGGCGGATATGGACATATTCGGACCCCCGGGGGCCGAAACATGTCCACATCCACCTCCCGCTGGGGCACCAGGACGTCGGTTCCCAGGCGGTGGATGTGGATAGATCCCCGCCTCGCGCAAGTCGTCCGCGCATCGCCGCCGGGGGCCCGAGGGCCCCGAGCTGCCCAGGAGCGTGCGAGTGGGCGATCGAGAGGGCTCGTCGCCGCTCGATCGGCGACGCATCGCCGATGCCAGGTCGCTGCTTCCCCCCTATGCCAGTGCCCCCCTAATCTCGGGGGCGGCAAAGAGGGGGGTGGTGACTAGGGGGGGGTGGATATCATGGCGTGGGCCATGATGTTTCCCCAATTTCTTGCGCCTCTTCTTATTTCATTACGTCCATGGCCCCCCCGCTGGGCCGCGCACATGCCGCCGGTCATGATTTGCACCCCCCCCTTTTTGACGCCCCCCTCTTTTCCGCTCCCGATATTCGGCGTGTCACCCCAACATACTTACACTAGATGTGCGTCGCCACCCCAAGGGCGACGCGCGCACACCGAGAAATCTTGTGGTATATGCGTCGTGGCGGGCGCTTTCTGGCCACACCGCTCGGGGAGTGGTATACTACAAGATGGGTATACTGTCTGTTCGGGCGCCTCCAAGGAGGTATAGTATCAGTATGCCTCTGTGCGTCCCACCTATCGCTGCCCCTCAGGAGCAAGAACGTGGTCGACAGGCAGTGGCAGCAGCGGGGGGCTTCGCAGGGCATCCCGCCTGAGGAGAAGGCCCGCACCAAGGAGGCCCTGCTCCGGCTCGTCTCGGCCGCGACGGCGGGAGCCCTGCCGCACCTCGTGGAGCTGGTGATGGTGCTGCGCAAGGTGTGCCGGTTCGAGTTCCCCCGGCAGTGGGACGAGCTGGCGCGCTTCCTACTCTCTGAGCTGCAGCAGATCAAAGAGCAGGGGTTCAGCGAGCGGGCCGTGTCCATGGTTATGGTCCTGCACGGCGTGCTGAAGGAGCAGGGGTCCAAGCAGATGCTGGCGGCGCGCAAGGAGCTCCACCAGATCGGGCAGCTGCTGACCGAGCCGGTGGGTGCTGTGTGGTGCACGGCGCTGGAGCACATGCTGCAGCGACAGGCCACGGAGCTTGTGGACGACAGGCTGTGGAAGTTGAGCCGGTACTTGGACGGCTGCTTTTTGATCTTGTTGGCCCGAGGATTCCCCCACCTGCACGAGGCCGCCTCGGGTCCCGACATGATCGTGCTGGTCAAGAGGAAGGTGGCGTTCCTCGTGTCGCTGCTCCGCGGACCCGCAGGGTCGCTGGAGGGCGGCGGCTTCTTCTTGAAGGACGTTAAGTCGGTGCTGAAGTGGTGGACCATCCTGATCAGAGAGCACCCTTTGTCTTTCACGAAGGCCAACGTCCAGGAGGTGCTGCACATGAGCGTGGAGGTGATGCAGGCTCTCGCTGTGCCCGGCGCCCATGCAGCGCCCGGGCAGCGCATGACGGCGGAGCCGCTTCTGAAGAGCTGCACGCAGATGTTGGCCCACAGCTTCAACACGGTCGCTTTTCGCAAGGGGCCCCAGCCCAAGCACGAGGGCGCCGTGCTCGAGGCCGCGAAGGTCTGCCACGCCCAGTTCGTAGAGTTCGTGCAGCGGCACCCCGTCGACGGCCTCTGCTCGCTGTGCTGCCGCACGGCGCTCGAGCTGAGCTGCGAGGAGGTGCGCGAGTGGCTGGCCGACCCCGAGGATCAGATGCAGGGGCCCAGCGCGCAGACCGACCTGCACATCGCCGGGGAAGCCCTGGTGCGCGCTCTCGGCCAGCAGCCGTTCGACCAGGCCCTGGTGCAGCACGTGGCCAGGCGCATGGAGGAGGAGGCCGCTCGCCCGCCCACGGCTGGCGACGCCTTCGAGGTCACGGCGCGCAAGGACTCCCTGCTGGTGGTGCTGGCCCTCTGCCAGCCGCTGCTCAAGCCGCACCTCCGCTTCGAGCAGCTCCTGGCCTTCTTCGGGCCGGTGGTCGCCATGGCGCCGCAGTTCGGCAGGGAGTGCCCGAGCATGCTCCTGGCGGTCCGGCTCTGCTCGGTGATCCGGTCTTGGTGCGGCGACATCCCGCAGGAGGCGCTGCTACCCGTGCTGCGGCTCCTGCACGAGTTCCTGCAGGACGGGCGCCACAAGGCGCTGCGCCTGGCGGCCTTGACCCCGCTCGGCGGCCTCCTGGAGCCTCCAGGGCGGAAGAACCACCCGGACCCGACAACTGGCGTTTGCTAAACGGCCCTGGGCGTTTACTAAACAGCCCTGCCTCTTGCTTGATCCCTTCTGTGGGTGCGTTGAGGAAACGGCTTCGCGTGCCGGGGTGGTCATGATCGGGGTGGATTTCCTGCCCTGAAGGAGCGCTTCTCGGACCATGAGGCCTGGGCCGAGATCCAGTGCGCGTTCGTCGACGCCTGCATGGCCCTGCTGAGCACGCTGAAGGCGCCCGACGTGCAGTGGCGCTGCCTGAACATCGTCCACCGCTTCCTGTGCGAGGAGGCGGAGAGCGGGCGCTACGATGTCACGGCGCGCTCCCTTCAGCAGCTGATGGTGCTGTGGCGGCAGCCAGACCAGGGCGAGCTGCTGATCTGCCACGCGCTGGTGGACGTGCTGCAGGCCCTGGTGCTCATGTCGTGCCGCTCGAAGACCCCGCGCCTGCCGCTGTCGGAGCCTCTGCTGGGCTGCTGCCTGGCCGTGGTGTCCGACTGCTACACGAAGCACAGAGAGGCGCCGGCGTCTGGGCAGCCGGAGGTCAGCGCCGCCCTGATGCCCGACGCGGTGTCGGCGCTGGGCAGGCTCGGCGAAATCGCCAGCGCTACCCTCTTCGACGCGGGCAGCATGCTGCTGCTGGGTGTGCTCCGCACCGTGGACGTCGGGCAGGCTGCCCCGCTGCTGGGTTTCTTCCCACAGCTCGTGCTGCACTACAGCGGGCAGCCCTCGGTGCAGGACGCGACGCTGGACATCCTGCTGGAATACTGCGCGCTCTACGTCGAGGCACCGGGCGGGGCCGCCCAGCTGCAGCCCCACTACGGGGCTCTCCTGGCAATCTGCCGCATCGGCATCCAGGCCGGCAAGCAGGGCAGGAGTTGCGAGCTCTCCTTCCAGCTGCTGCAGCTGTTGGCCACTCACGCGCAGGCGCCAGAGAACCTCCGCGAGCTGCGGGAGACGGTGGCCTCGCTTTTCAGGCTTCGGACGGGGGCCAGGACGAGGATAACTGGAACGCTCCCAGAGCGTTCCGGGACGCTCTGAGAGGGCCGCGGCGCCCAAGACATCCTCCAGAGCCGCCGGACCTCAGAGATGCTCGAGTTATCCTCGCCCTGGCCTCGCTCCTCAGGCTGTGGGCGACCACGTTCAACCCCGCGGCCGTCCAGAGCGACTTCCCGTACCCCTTTGGCATCGCTCTGGCGTGTGCGGTTTTTCCTCCTCCTCCTCCTCCTTCTCCTCCCCCTCCTCATCCAGGTGGCCCAACCGCAGCCACCTCCACCCGCGCCAGCCCCGCGCACCTTCACCCCAACGAGGAAAAGACGGCCGCGGCAGACCTCGCCATGAGCCCGTGACGGTAGCGCTGCCCAGAGGCAGCAGGATGGCGGGGATCGCTGGGCTAGTACGAGCAGTCTCATACAATCCTTGTGCAGCGAACATTTTTGAAATATTGCTGGACATTACAACATGCATTCCGAACCGAGACTTGTATGCACTGATTGGCATCAGTAGGTTCGATCTCATGGCAGGTTGGTGAACGACACGCGTCTAGTACAGAAGTTCCGGTCAGCCGAGTTTGGATTCAAACGAGGATCACTGGTTTCCCCATCGTGTGGCATGACTTGTTTGCTCAAGAAGAAAAGATTCCCTCGCGCTGCTCTGAAAAGGGTCCATGGAGTGCCGAAAACATCGCGGGGAATATGTGCAGCGTCGAGCCTTCAGACAGGGGATGGGTCCATTGGATTCATAGGAGTATACTACCCGCCGCGCCAAACATCCCGCACACACAAGCCAGCCTATGACCTCACCATCGAGAAAATTAATCAGCGGCTCCACGAGACGCTGCAGGATATATCGACAAGACGCACCAGTCCATTACTACTCACTGATCTTAACGGAGCCATGACTGAAAATGACGATCCCCATGCATATGGACAAGAATCACTGTCGTCAAAGATGATACGGCCACTACTCGTGGGGTGGAACCTTGCAGCGGCCAACACCTACACGTACAATCTGCCCTCATACATCGGCACGACTTCCGTCTCCTATATGGATCATATCCCCATGCCGCAACAGCTGTTGCAGTGTGTAAAAGATTGCCATGTGATGTGTGGTGCAGGGCGCGCTCTTCAGCTACATGAAACACACACACACACACACCGCTGGACCACCGACCCGTTCAGTTGCCAGTGCACATCAAGGTCACAGCGCGGCCACTACCAGACAGAGTTCAACGGCCAAGCCGTGAGGCACTTTTTTTGCTGTCTGCAGCAAGGGTTTCGACGACAGGAGCCATTTGATGAGATGGAGCGGCTTATGCAGGGCACTTAGGATTTATTCAATCAGATCGAGGCGACAGGCGGCGTGGACAAGGTGACCACACAATTTGTAGATATAGCCAACACCGCTCTTATCAACGCTACCGCGTAGTCAACCGAGACCAGAATGGAATATATCGAGACCAAAATGGAACATATCGAATTCATGTGGCAATTACTGTACATACGACGCGGATTCAGAAACATGCGAGTTGCACCAGAGGTTGTTTCTGAATTTGATTATGTGAGCGACACCATTGAACGGCTGAGCAAGCAGCTGAAGATATCGGCAAGACAGTATTGGGAGCAGATCACTGCACGCAGGGTTGAGGAGCTCAACGGGGCAGTCCAGGACAACCACGGCTCTCTTGTACAAAAAATGCTCGTCTCATCGCGGGCCGGCGCAGAGGACCTCGCCAACGGGGATTCGCAGCCATCGCCACATCCTCAGCCTCAGCACATGGATGGCCATTACGCATGCAGTTGCCATCGCACAAGGGAGGATGCACAGCGAGGCTCACCACGTTTCCGGATATCGAAGATGAGTTGACGAACGACGAGAGGAGTATTTGCGATGACGACGACGCCTGTATGCTGTCAGGTGAGGACTGGAATCAGATGCAGAGATACGCATGGCGCAAGAACCCTTGGAGGAGTTATCTAAGCTGGAGTATCCCAGCTGAGGCCTTGCGCTTGATCCTGTCCCCGCAGCGGATCACCCCCCGCCGCCCTGCCCGCCGCGTCGGGGTTGGAGGTGGTCCCGAAGAGGTCGTGCCGCCGAAGGTGACGCGAGGCTTGTTTCGAGCTATCTTGTTCATGCCAAGGAAGTACACGCGCGCGCCAGCCACCTGGCGCGCCTCTCAGGCTGCCAGACTGCCCAAAGGGAACAGCAAGCTCGACGTGGACGGTGTGCGCATCATTGAGATTATCTGCCCAGTTGGGCGTGCGCTCCACGCAGCGACGTTCCACGGGAGGCTCAGCCTCTGGACGCCAGAGGACTAGATTCATGGTGGTCTACGTAGGCGCAGGCGCGAGTCTCCCATTGGCGTCCAGCTAATTTCATCGTTCCGCCTCAGCTACGGGAACCACCCACCTCACCAGATGCCACGATGCCACCAACGCTTTTTACAATTTGAAAAATTCGGTGGTCCTTCCGATCCTGCTCATTTTGTTTTCGAACGCCGATATTCAATTTGCCGGGGATAGAGTTACCCGTTGGATTTTCTTGCTGGAAGACGAATCTGGGAAGTTCGGGATGGGGCCGTCTGAGGGGGTCTTCCCTGGAGATGCAGGTGCAACATGGATCTTCGCGCGCCCGTTCAGCACCCCGTGGTGATTGCCGTGGCCAGCTTGCAGATGCTAGAGAAATGGTACTTAGCCGTAGAGGTAGACCTCCCCTGGGACGCCGATGGGGACCTCACGCAGCGAATGGCTAACTGGGTGCATTGCCGACTTAGCCAATGAGGTATTTGAGCCCAGCACGGGGGGCAACGTCATAGCCCAGCTCAAGATAGACAGCCAGCGTGAGAACGCAGCAATCGACAAGGCACGCAACGCATCGGCGCCACGCAGAACGCCAGCAAGCAATAGAACGTTGCATGCGCCAGTGGAGATGGGGGGCCACATAGGTAGCAGATTTACCCTCACGAAGCAAACTAGCACATCAGGCACTACGCTACGCCATGCACGGTACCCGAGAGGTCTTCAGGCGAGCACATTCACCGCCAAACCAGACCTCGCAAAGCGCCTCCGCGCTGCCCAGGCTGCCTGTTTCTCCATGGGGTGATTCTGGACCACCAAGGGCATCAAGGTCGGGGTGAAGCGCTCGATGTTGAAGGGGCCCCTAGTCAGCACCGCGCCCAGCAGACTAGAGGTAGTCGCGAACGGCAACAGGCCGCTCACCAACGGCGACCTGGCCGAGCTTGAAACCTCCATCGTGCGCAAGGGCCGCGCGCGTCCTGGAGGTACCGCATAATGGCATAACCTACATGACCAGGTTGCGAACGAGAATGCACGCGAAATCCTCTGTAAGTTCAAAGTCGCCCCTCTCCATCTCGAGCTTCGAATTCGTAGACTCAAAGGGCTCCAGGGAATGGTGCAGGATCGCGATGACAACGAACAGTGTTTGGCGACATGCTTTGGACGGTCGCAGGTTGATGGTGCAGTTTATGACGGGAGCGGGGCTATACGCGCCCGCGCGCATTCGCGGGCGCGCCGCCTTGAACCAGACACGTTGGCATTGCGATCCCTGGAGGCATCAGAAATCTCGTGGGATATGGGGAATGAGTCTCTGCGTCGTAGTCTCTTCGTTTACACGAGCGATTTCGAGAGAATCGATTGCGGTGAACTTCGCGCCCAGTTCTTCGCGTCTCGAACCGAGAGCGAGGCTTTGCTGCGGGAGGATCGAGGAGGACAGGGGAAGCTGGAGGATGATAGCACATGCAACACGAGATGGCCTACCAAACATGCCCTCACCAAACGCGTCGCCAAAGCCATCGGGGGCGCTCACGAGAAGCTCAACATCAGACGGATCATGATTATCACGAACAGCTGCATCTTTATGCCATAGTGCATTTCGAGATGCATACGTTGCCAAACAGCACGCCGCAGCGAGCTTACGACGACAGTACTGTCCAGCAAATCGAGGACGATTCGAGAGCAATATTGAAACGCCGAGCGACATGACCCGCCCGATCTGCTCTGAGGAGTTCGACGAACTAGCGTCTTGGCTCAAGCACGCAAGGACGCATCTAGAGCCTCTCCTGGAACCGAACTTCTGCGTCAGAGAAGCGCGCTGGCAGTTTGTCTCCAGTGCGCGCAATCGGTTGCCGTTGTCTGACTGCTTGTGGTCGAAGATTCACAGACCACGGGTGGGCGCCTCACTTGACGGCCCCGAAGCACGGCGGCAGCGGCGGCGGCAGCATCCACAGACGGTCACCCAGCAGAGGGTTGGCTCGTCAGGGAGAGGTCGGAGAGTTTCGCGGTCGCAGGGGCCATGGAGAAGAAGCCTCGAGCAGCAGACGTGGAAGCAGTAGACATGGAGGAGGACGAGGACATGATCGGACTCATGAGGGCCCTGATCGCGCAGCTCGAGGCCAGGGCGCGCCTGCTCGAGCACGAGTCGATGAGCACAGCGATCCTCGACAGGAAGTACCAGATCGTAGTCGATTGCAGCAAAACGTATCAGGGGTCTGCGAAGCAGAGGAAGGAGGACCCCAATTGAGACTTAGGCTCTCCAGCATCTCAAGCAGCCCACTCCATTCTTAGGGAAACAAAAAGTGACATAAACATACAAATTCGGAGGTCCGCGCGGATTTATCGGATCGGCGCCGGGGCCCCCCGGCGGCGCCTCCGGCGCCGCCCCTGGCGCGCCCCGCGCGCCATGAAGGGGGGTCCAGCGCCGATCCGAGAAATCCGCGCGGACCTCCGAGTTTCATGTTCACGTCACTCGTTGTTCCCTTAATTCTGCTCGTTTTGAAAGAGTGGCCCTTCAAGGACAGTTCGGGGCGTCGCTTCAATATGAGTTTCGGGATGTCTTGGCTCGCAGATTTCATCAAACACGTAGGACCAGATCAGGCGGCGCTGTGGAACAAAGAGGCAGGATTGTTTCTCACATGCGACAAACCCAGGCAGCCTCACATGGGCAGATTATTATTCAAGTTCCTGGGGCAGGTACTGGTTCCAGACAGCGACGAGGATCGCAAGGCGATGTTGGCCAACATTACAGACGCAACCACCCGCTGCACGCGGCGACACCACTCGAATTCTCGACGGTGGTGATGCAAACGAAGGGCCTCGTGATTCAGGTTGAGGCACTGATCGGTGAGCTTGTGAGGCATGCAGGAGGTAAGTCCACGGTGAGCAAGGCACCGCGTGGCAACCTCGCACGCAAGATTCTGCCAAAGCGCCAGCAGCAAGTAATGATATCTTTCTGGCGGGTAAAAGGACGATCATGGCGAGCCCTGGGAGTGACCGGCTTAGCCGTGCACGTCCCCGAGCTTCAAGCGGATGGTTCCTCATCCGCTGCTCGGCTAAAAGTTGTCTTTCAGTTCCTGGGGGTTGACGTCGCATCTTCCAGTTTCTGATAGCTCGGTCCAGGCGAGCCCTAAGGCTTGAAACCGCCCTGGCCAGCCTCCCGTGCAGCGACCTAAGCGTAGGTCATCTGCCGACCCCTGGTGGGGTCGCACGGTGTTCTTGTTTCGAGCGTTGCAAAGTAGAGGGGTCGATCGCAATGAGACGATACCCCCCCAGGTTCCCGAATATTTTTCAAGCAAGCAGATTGGGAGTTGAACCGATTGCGAAAGAGCGAGAGCTCCTCCTCCTCCTCCTCCTCCTCCTCCTCCCCTTCCTCCTCCTCCTCCTCCTCCTCCTCCTCCTCCTCCTCCTCCTCCTCCTCCTCCTCCTCCTACGAACAGATACTCGCGCGAAAAATCGAACAATGCACGGGGAGTGCCCGACCGACCGATGGCGAGGTACCCCTCGCACGCGGTGTTTGCTGGGGCTCGGGCGCGTGCATGTTTTTTTTCGGCGAGGGCCCTCGAAGAGCCTTTTGTCGGTATCGTTTCTCCGATCCCCATCCCAATTTCCATCCCCTTCGAGACCCCCACCAAATTACAACCCCAGTTGGGGATACAGCCCTCGAAACCCGAAGGGAACGACCTGCATCCCCACCTAGGGGGGTAAATCTGCCAGTGGGGCCCACGCCACGCCGCTGGGGATGGGGATCGGTTAAACCATACTCATTTTGGAGCACCCTACGAAAACAGACACTCAACCCGCATAGGAAGGGTGGGCACTTGCCCTAAGGGTATCCCTGCATCCTTGCCTCCTCGGCCCACCCCTGGCCACCCTCGCCGGCCGCACCCCGCCCGAACAAAAGCTTCAAGACGGCCTTCCAGGGGCCCTGTGCATCCCTGTCGCGCCGCCTTCTATGATGCGCGCCGACTGCACGCGCACGAGGCCGACCACGCGCACAGGGGAACAGACTCCTCCTCCTCCTCCTCCTCCTCCTCCTCCTCCTCCTCCTCCTCCTCCTCTTCCTTCTCCTCCTCCTCGTCCTCCTCCTCCTCCTCCTCCTCCTCCTCCTCCTCCTCCTCCTTACGAACAGATGCACGCGCGAAAAGTCGAGCAATGCACGGGGAGTGGCCGCCCGAGCGGTGGCGAGGTACCCCGCGCACGCGGTGCTGGGGCTGCTCGGGGCGTGGCAGGCCCACCGGGGCGAGGACTTCCGGCAGCTGGCGCGGGCCGTCGCCGCGAGCACGGCGCGCGCCGCGGCGCTAACGGCGGCCTGCCTGCGGCTGGCGCGCGCCGTCGCGCTGAGGGTCTCGCTGCTCTGCGCCGCCCTGGCGCTGTTGGAGGATCGTCGGGGGAGGAAAAAAGTGCCCCTGCCGCGGCCCGTGGCTCGTTTTGGATGGGCCTGTCTTTCACCACCACCACCATCAGTTGGAGGGGGGAGGGAGGAGGAGGAGGAGGAGGAGGAGGAGGAGGAACTCCCCCATCTGGGGAGCACCGGTATCGGTACCGTCTGGTTTCCCCAGATCGGGGAAGCGCGAAATTCGGGTACGCCTCGAGTAGGGGATCGACTACATAATTGATTTATCGCAGAATTGATGTTCAGTTGAACCTACGACGCATGCGAAGACGGTTCCTTATATCTACGAGTTTTCTACGTACTTGTTCGTCGATTCGACGAGAAGATAGTTTCTGGGGGTAGATCAATTCTGCAGTCGATCTCTTACTCGAACGCCGGAACTCGGGTTTGCCCACGCTTTTTGACGAGCGCGCCCTGGTTTTTCGGGGCGGCAGAGGGGGGGTGATGACTAGCGGGGGGGGGGAGATGTCAGGGAGGGGGGCCATGAGGTCTCCCCTGGTTTGATGGCGCCTGTTCTTCTTTCAATACGTCCCCAGCCCAACCCCTCTTGGCTGCGCACATGCCGCCGGCCATGATTTGCACCCCCCCTCTTGGACAGCCCTCTCCTTGGACGCCCCCGAATTTTGACTCCAGTTTTCGTGGGATGTCTGCAGCGGGAGCTCGCGTCAAATTCCAGACGGGGTCTCGTAATTTTCATGATGGCCCCGTCGGGCCAACTCGAGTCCCCCGAACCCGAGTCTCACGTCTCCCCGAGAGGAAGACCCCAACGGGGCCAGCAGCGTCGACCAGGCCTTCTGGAAGGACTTCCTGCAGTGCTGCGGCGACGTGGCCAGCGGGGCGCAGACCGGGTGTTGCCAGAGGTGTTCCTGGCCCAAGGTGCCCCCAGGAGGCCCCCACGGCCTCCAGAGCACCCCATCACGAGGCCCAGAGGGTCCCAGGGGGTCCAAGAGGAAGCGGCCAGCTGGGGATGCATGCTTGGGACAGGCACTACACCTGTATGGCAACCCCCGAGCAGAAAAAGTCCGGCGGGGCGGCGGCGCTGCTGATGCAGACCCTGCAGGCCCTGAGGTCCTCCACTTCCACGCGGCCGCCCGTGGGCGCTCGCAGCTTCGGCGAGCTGCAGCGCTGCATGCTGCCGCCGGCGCTGGGGCCGGCCGTGCGAGAGGACGGGTCCATTCGAGGGAGAGAACCTGACCTTCGGAGGAGGCGAATGTACCCATACAGCTGCCCTAAGCCTGTTCTCCCCTGTTTCCCTGACCTTCCAGAGCGCTATTTTTTTGCACTGGAGACCTAAAAACCTAAACAACTGAACGAAACAGCCTAAAACCAAGACGTAGAATAGCTCTGGGATAGGTTTTTAGGTCGGGTGCTATTTTTTAGCCCTCCTGGAAGGTCAGGGTTGGGGGGGCCTCTTGGGAGGCCCTCGTCGCCACCGCCGGAGTCGCCTCGACATCCTGGTCAGAACGCGCCCTGGGGGAGGGCCGGGGAGCAGCGGTATCGGTACCTTTCGGCTTCTCCAGACATGATCATCCAGTCGAACTGAGGCCAAAGATCGAGGTCGGTTCGGAGAGGGTACCTATTGTTCTTCGGGTTTGCTGGATGTGCCTGTGCATCCTGGGGAGGGCACCCTTGGATGTTCTGAGTGTTTTGGCCGACGGAGGGTCTCATGTTCTTGAGGGGTGGTATTCTGGCCTAGGTCCGACTGTACATTGTCGGAGCTCCGCGCGGATTCCTTGGGTCGGAGCGCACCAGGGGCGACACCGGAGGCACCGCCAGGGAGGCCAACGGCGATCCAAGAAATCTGGGCGGAGCTCCGAAACGTAGTGTTTCTATGCAGCGTTCAGAGGATTACAACAAAAACCGAAGGATTGCACAAAAAACGAAGGATTGCAAAAAAACCTAGGTTTTTTGCAATCCTTGGTTTTTGTTGCAACCCTTTTTTTTTCCAATCCTTCGAGCAAGAAAGAGGTCATGAGCATGGTGCATTCCAGGATTCCTTGCATCTCCCAGAGTTCCTAGTGTGCCGCACGGGGCTGCAGAAGCGAGGGCCGCTGGATGCCGTATACTCTGCTCCTGGAACGTATGCTGAGCCCACCTTATGATGACATGATTATCGTCCAGAGGGGGGAGGGGGTGGGTCGGGTCGGGCGAAAGGGGGGGATTGGGAAAGGGGGGGGGTACGAAATTTGCTGCATGCAGCTGGTTTCGGCCTCACCGAAGGGCCAATTCCTCGATACATGGCCGCTCCCGGCGCCGGGAGGCGCCAGGAAAATCAGCTACGTGAGCTGATTCTGACCCCCCCCCCTTTGCTATCCCCCCCTTTCGCCCCACCCGAGTGGGGCAAGGCTTCTTAGAAGGAAGCCGATTTTGGGAGCGCGCGGGCCTTGTCTGTAGAAGTGAAGCCCGCGCGCCTTCTAAGAAGCAGCCTCCTTCTGAGAAGCTCACTCCGAGTGTCTTAACATGCGTCGGGGGTGCGTCACCCCCACCGACAGCCCCACGTCGATCCCCGTCGCGGGCAGCCTCCGCGCGACGGAGGCGCTCCGACCCCCGTCGCGGCGCGACGCCGAGGCGAGGCTGATCCCCGTCGAGGGGGTACCCCCCACGCTTATTCAGAAACCCAGAGTACCCTCCCCCTGTCCTCCCCCTGTGCACAGGAAAAACCAGGTCCCCAGGAGAGGGGACCCGGTTAGTAGTAGGGCCCCAGAGCCCCTAAATTTCCTAGAATCACTATAGTTTAGTGATTCTGGGAAGCGTTTTGTTCTGAAGCGCTTTTCGTTTCGGACGGAAAAAAACGGTGAACGGGTTGCGTCGGCGTGTTTTGTTTTTGTTTCTGCTTTTATGTTAAACGCGTTCTAAACTGAAGCAGCGTTTGTTGCCAGCGCTGCACTAAACTAGCTCTGGCGTAGCTGGTGTTTTTTCGGGTAACGGCATTTCCGGTGAGCGGAGTGGGGCGGGGCGGCGTCCCCCGGTACACATCACCACACCGGGCCCCACCAGACCCAGTTTTGCCCACGCCCGACCTGCCCTCCCCAGACCCCCGACGTGAGGATGTTGTTCATTACGTCGACCCCCAGAGGTCCCGACCCGTTCCCCAGGACCGGCTCTGCATCCCGAGTCGTTCCTTGACGCTCCCGAGGCCCGGCGAAGGGCCCCCTGGAGGCCGCAAGTCGGGAAAAGCCTCCCGTCACGATCTTTTCATTCCTCGAGGGGGTCTGGGTGTTCTCCTCCTCGGCCCGTGGACGAGCTGGCGATTGTGCACTGGTTCTTCGGCCACTGCGCCGGGAGCCTGTCGCGGCTGGGCGCCCGGGGCGGCCTGGACGTGCCGGCCCTCGTCGCCCTCGCCCCACCGCAGGCCCAGGCCGCCTTCCGCGCCCAGGGCCTGTGAGGCGCAGGGGCGATGAGAGGCGCAGGGGCGACGACAGGCTCAGAGGAGGAGGAGGAGGCGGAGGAGGAGGCGGAGGCGGAGGAGGAGGAGGAGCAGGAGGAGGAGGAGGCGGAGGCGGAGGAGGAGGAGGCGGAGGAGGAGGCGAGGAGGAGAGGCGGAGGAGGAGGCGGAGGAGAGGCGGAAGAGGAGGAGAGGAGGAGAGGAGGAGGAGGAGGAGGAGGAGGAGGAGGAGGAGGAGGGGCCGGAGGTTGCCTGACATTTTCAATGGTTCTCGGCGGTTTTCCAGACCTGGGCCGCGCTCCAGCGCAGCTGCGCCTGGCCGAGAGCGTTCTGGGGGGGCCCGGACCGTCCCGAGCGGCCGCTGGAACGCCGGAGTAGGACCCGAAGGCCGTGTGGTATACGGTCCAGGGTGAAGTCGGGCGTGTCCCCCTACAGGGGGGTTTTCGACGAAAAATATTATCCCGGCAAAGCAACCTAACAGCGATGTGTATGAGCATATTTGGAGGCAGTCCCCTTAAGATTCAGGTGAGAATCCACAGGGGGGGGGGCGTGTCCCCCTACAGGGGGGTTGTCGACGAAAAATATAAAAGTACCCCAAACATATCCCAAACAGGTTAAAACATATGCAAAAAATAGTCCCCAGACTATGTTTGGATTATTGTTTGATTACTTTTTGTGGGGCATTTTTTTTATTTTTCGTCGAAAATCCCCCTGTAGGGGAACAGGCCCGACTTGAGTCCAGGGGGGGACGCAGCGACCGCCATTCGCCCATGCGTCGCCGCTGGGGGCCCGGCAGCCCACCCCGCTCGGGACCCGCGCGGGTCTGCCACCGGAGGCCGATCGCCGGTCTGTCAGCGAGGAATCGCCGATTCCAGCGGGGTGTGTCCCCCCTGAGCTGGTCCCCCCCCCCCTATCTCGAGCTGGGCGAAAGGGGGGGACTGGGGAAGGGGGGGGTTACGAGATCTGCTGCATGCAGCTGGTTTCGGCCTCACCGCCGAGGGGCCCATTCCTCGATGCATAGCCGCCTCCGGCGCCGGGAGGCGCCGGGAAAATCAGCTACGTGAGCTGATTCTCAAACCCCCCCTTTGCTATCCCCCCCTTTCGCCCGACCCCCCTATCGTTTCGGGGGTGGACAGACCTCCTACCCTGACACGTCGATTATAAGGAATGGGCCGTGTTCGCTCCGCGAGAGGGCGCCGCGGCCGTCCTGTTTGCGGGTCCAGGTCCGTCGGTTTCGGTCCTAGGCCTCGGCATCGCTCGGACGTGTGCATTTTTCCTTCGGCGAGGGCCATCGAGGAGCATCCTTGATCATTTGGCGAAAAGACCACGCACGAAACCAACAAAACAACACAGGGAATGGACGTCCGAGCGATGGCCAGAGGCCGTTTTCACTAAGGGGAGGTTTACGAAAGGGAGATCTGTCCACCGCCGATCCGTTGCCCCTCACGAGCTGGCCGGCCCCGCGCGCCGCGCGCGCGCAGCCGGCGGGCGCACCGTCTTGGACTGTGCGCGGCGCGCGGGCCGAGGCGGCAACAAGAGTCAGCCACGCGTAGAGGGGGGTGGGGGGAGGGGGGAGGGCTTCTCAGAAGCACCCCTGCTTCTTAGGAGGCGCGGGCCTTCTCTGTAGACGGAAGGCCGAGGCCTTCTAAGAAGCAGGGTGCTTCTAAGAAGCCTTCCCCCATCCCCCTACCCCCTTGTTGCGCGCCGCCAAAAGAGAACTGTGTGGCAAGGGTTGCGTCAACAACGGCAGTCCCAGACCCCCTCGAGTTATGAAAAATTCACGACGGGAGGTTTTCCTTAATTTTCGGCCTCCGGGGGCCCTCACCGGGCCTCGGGAGCGTCTAGAAACGACTCGGGATGCAAAGCCGGTCCCGGGGAAAGGGTAGGGACCTTTGGGGGTCGACGTAACGAAAAAATCATTACGTCGGGGGTCTGGGGCGGCAGCACGCTTGTTTCTGACCAAGACCTCGGGGACCGCTGTCAGCCGCGAGTGCGTCTGCCGATAAGAGCCGCTTGCACGCAGGCAGGTGCACCCGAAAGTGCCACAGCGTTTTTGCGTATACCACCACCGTGCCGATGGCTCCCTCACCGGGGAGACCGTGCTTCTCCCCTTTCCCCTCGCCCAACCTACGCAGAATGTTATACGCAGCTTCTGTTGCATCTTCGTGGGACCTCGCCTGCCCCAAAAATTGGTGCCTTTTGGGGGGCCCGACGCGGGCTCGATGCGGACTCGACGCGGATTTGGCGTGGATTCGACGCGGATTCGACACGGATTCGACACGGATCCGGATTCGACGCGGACAGGACCGCGACGGGACAGACAAGGTTCCCCGAGGATGCAATATAACGTACCCCTCTGGCGGCTCGAATCTTCCCACCCCCTTTTTCAGCCGGCTGATACGCCTCCAGCGCCTCCAACCTCCTAACATTTGCGTTTCTCGGCGTCCCACGCTTTCCGATCGCTTCGCTCTCCATGGTGCTGTGCACTGGCCAGCACTTTGTCTTGGCCTCTTGGCGGTCTCATCCGGGCAGCTCATACGAGTCCATCAGCGTTTACTGACCCGACGTTCATGTCTTACCAGGGACACGTGCCACGGGAAGTGCACTGCTTGAAAGAAGCGCACAAGTGGTCTTCCTATGCGCACACTGCTTGAAAGCAGCGGACAAGTGGTCCTTCCATGGCAGGGCGATTAGTTTGTTGCCGCGGCCTTGCGTTTCCAGCCCGGTGGTTTGAGCCAGCGCTGCGCTCCAAAAAACACCCTGGAAAACGTGCACTGCCGTCGACAAGGCGCCTCCTGTTCGGGCGGATCTGGGGCCGCGAGGGGATCGCTCCAGAGATCTCCGGAACGCTCGCTTCGCGTCCCGGAGCGGCCGCGGCGTCTGATGCATCGTCCAGAATCCCAGGATCTCAGAGATCCCCGATTTGCCCCGGTTTGGTTGTGTCCAGGTCCTGGTTTCCTCTTGCTGGCTGGGTCGACCCGCTCTGTTCCGTGCGGTTGGCCTGTCGAGCAGCACGCGCGCGCCAGCCCCGACGAGGCACGCCTGCGCAGATCTGAGCGAGCAGTCCGGCATGCGCGGCTCCCGCTCACAGCGGCACCCTCTCCTCTCCAACGGGGGTCGTGCAGGGAAGCGTCGAGGGGGAGAGAGAGCGTCAGTAGGGAAACAAAAAGTGACATAAGCATAAAAGCTCGGAGGTCCGCGCGGATTTCTCGGATCGGCGCTGGCGCCCATCGGCAGCGCCGATGGCGCCGCCCCTGGCGCGCTCCGCGCGCCAGGGAGGGGGGTCCAGCGCCGATCCGAGAAATCCGCGCGGACCTCAGAGTTTTTATGTTTATGTCATTTTTCGGTTCCCTAACTCTAGCCCCGGCCCATTCCCCTCCCAGCGAAACTTTAGACTGCACCTGCCCCAGGATCCTGCTGCCACGACGCCGACAGAAGGACCGCTCTGGGGCTCAGGAGGGGCCTCGGGTCCCGGACCTCGCCTTCGATCTGGGGCGGGCAGCCCAGTCGCGGCCGAGGCTGGCCGACGGCCAGTGGCCGTGGCCATAAACAAAAAGCCTACTCGTCCCCTGATCGGGTACAGCCAGGACCCCAGGTGAAGGGACCCAGCTAGTGGTAGGGCCCCAGAGCCTCTGAATTGGCCGGAATCGCCAAACCAGGTCTGCCGCAACTGGTGCTTTTCTGGTGATGGCAGTTCTGGTTCGTGGAACGGGGCGGGGGGGGGCGCCCCCCAGTGCACATCACTAAACCGTGTCCCACTAGACCCAGTTCTGCCAACGCCCGACCTTATTCGGCGGTCTTGATGGTAGCACGCTGATGAGTTTCGTCAGACTGTATCGGCATCGTTGGCGAGCCTTTGCTGCAGCGGATGCCCCTCCCTCCGTGGTAGCGAGGCGGTAGCGAGGGCTCGTTCAACGGGCCTCGGGTCCGAAGTTGAATTCTTACTCCTCCTCCTCCGCTGTTTTGACAAAAAAAGACAGATGCGCGTCACGCGCCCGGGGGCACAATGCGCGGCGCGTCGCGAGCCCAGAGGCGACTTGAGCAGCACTGCGTGCGCGCGCAGCGACTGGCGCGCCGCGTGCAGGGGCGTACGCGTATCTGGGGGCGCGTATCCGGGGGCGCGAGGACAGCCCGAAAAGAGGCGGCCCTGCGGCGGGGCTTCCCTGTCCGATTTTTGGTTTCGGCAAACCGCCCGTGAGGACGGTTTGCTTGGGTGCAAACCGCCCGTCACGGGCGGTTTGCCTCACGGCGACCCCTGGGTTCCAAGACGTTGGAAGCGGCCCCAGAGAGTGGCCCGAGACAGCCCGGGGGGCCCCCAAGTCGGCCCAAGAGGGCCCCGCGATAGCCCGAGGGGGCCCAAGAGCGGCTCAGGCGGGCCCCAAGGGGCTCAACACGGCCCCGTGGCGGGGTCTCCCACTCCGATGTCTGCTCGGGGCAGCCGTCGCGGCATTTGTTTCGGGGGCCGTCGGACAACGCGCCCGGGTAGCCGTCGGGAAACGGTCGGGGAGCCCACATGGGCAACCGCAGGGGCCATCATCGGGACGCCCCCCCCCCCGCGGAATCATGCGCGGCGGGCGCGTGCGCTCTGGGCGCCTCGTGGGTTCGCCCCAGGGCCTGCAGGGGGTCCCGCGCGAGGCCGACTGGGAATCTCATGCAGGCCCGTGAAGCTCAGGAGGGGGAGAAACACACAGACACAATTAATCGTCGATCCCCAGGAAAATATGGGAAAATATGGGAAGTGGGGGGGAAGACAAAAACCCAGAAAATATTGGAAAATATGGGGAATCCTTTTATTTGTGTGTGTATTTATGTGTGTGTCCTGGGACCCCTTCAGAAACCCAAGTGAAGAATCTGCTCTGGTAGGCGGCTGCGCACGCAACCATTCTGCGAGGCTGTCTCGGGCGAGCGTCACTCCTGCAGGATCTACGCCTGCAGAATGTGTACCTAAAGGTACAGGTGCGTGCGCCCCCCCCCGCCCCTCCCTCCATTCACACCCTCTCCACAATTACTCAATATGAATACTTCTCTCCCTCTTCCCCTGATGACGGTTTGAAAGTGTCCGACCCCCCCCCCGCGTATTGTTTTTTTTACACACAGGTTTCCCCGGAGTGGGGTTTTCGCTTGCATTTTTTCAAAATGCTGCTCTCGCTGAGGCGCTGGCCTCATTTTCGGGCCCCGATCGTTCCGAATCGTGCTCCCGCTGCAGCGCTGGCCTCATTTCTGCGCTTCCGCTCGTTCCGAATCGTGCTCCCGCTGCAGCGTTGGCCTTATTTCCGAGCTTCCGCTCGTTTCGACTCGTGCTCCCGCTGCAGCGCTGGCGTCATTTCCCGTGCCATGCCACGGCATGCAATGCAATGCTAGTTTGATACTACGCTTTGCGGTGCTCTTCTACGCCATGCCATGCCGTGCTCTTCCACGCCATGCCATGCCTTTTCGGGATCATTGCCCTGCTCGACATTCGACTGTGCGAGTAGAGAGGGGATCTGCTCCATGGTAAGGGGTGGAAGGGAGGGGTAGGATGTCAGATATGACGCGAGCGCACCTAGCTTGCCTTCCTCCCCCTCCCTCCCCCTCCCTCCCATCACACCCCCTACCCTTCCCCCGTTCCCCCCTTCCCCCCTTCTTCCCTTATTCCTCACGCCCTCTCTTGCTTCCTCCCTCCCTCCCTTCCACCCATGTCCCTCTCTGCGTCCTCCCTCCCCCCCTCCCTTCAGTCCCCCTCCCTCCCTCTCCCTCCCGCCCCCTCCTTTCAGACCCCCTCCGCTTTCTTCTCTCCCTCCCCCGCCCATCCCTTTCGACCCCCCCCTGCTCCTCCCTCCTTTCACACCCCGTCACTGCGCGGCTCCTCCCCCCTCCCTTCACGCCCCCTCCCCTTCCTCCCTCCCCCCACCTTCCTTCACCCCTCCCTCACGAAAGTATCATCCAACTGGCTCTCGCAACGGAGTATCCGCTTGGGCCCTCCTCCTTTTCCTCCTTCCCTTCCTCCTTCCACTTTCATCGAGCCGCGCTTCCGTCATCCAAATGAAACGTCGCATCGTTTGCGCCCCATCTTCGCCCAAGATGCGCGTCATCCTGGGTTTCCCGCATCGCCGCTCCCACATGTGTTTGCTGGGTCTGGATGCGTCGTCCCTCCCCGCGCGTTTGGCTGTCGCGCGCTTGCTTCGTTTCTCATCTCTGGTTTTCGGCCCAGCGCCGCAGGAGTAAGAAATTCATTGCGTATTGGGGATCACAGTCGAGGGCGCAGCGGCTCCCTGTGACAGCTGCGCCCGCCGCCCGCGGCGCAGCCTCGCGCTTGCGTCGCTCAGGAGAGAGAGAAACGCGGACACAATGAATTGTCGATCCCTAAGAAAGCATTCGAACATATGGGAAGTGGGGGGGAAGACGAACACCACCAAAACACAGAAAAATAGAGGACATCTGGGGATTTGTTTGTATTCATCTGTGTGTCCCTGGGCCCGTTCTATGGGAAGTGGGGGGGGAAGACGAACACCACCAAAACACAGAAAAATAGAGGACATCTGGGGATGTGTGTGTGTGTGTATTTATCTGTGTGTCCCTGGGCCCGTTCAGTCGTTTCCTGCCTCCGTCTGCTTACCAGTCGCCCCGTCCCCCCGCACGTGCACCGGGCGCACTGCGGACCAACGCTGGGCGCCTGGCTCCGTGATCCCAGGGGTGCCTCGCAGCGCGGCGCCGCCGACAGGTCGGCGAGTGGGCCCGCGCAGGAAGCGCCCCGTGGGCACGCCTTTTCCCGTACCCTTCGCGGCAGCGTGCTCGACCCGTCTTTTTTGTGAGTGATAGCTCAGAGGGCGAAAATTCAATTAGCCAGAGGGCGAGGACGAAAACACAACCAGGGTCCTCGGCACCTTTGTTGGCACCATTTTCGGGTTCGCGACGACGTGGTCGACCCGTCCTCTAGTTGAAACGCGGACCCACCCTGAAGAATTTGACGATCCCGTCCGCATGGTTTTTGTTCAGAGGGCGGCTCCGATTTCCAGACTTCGGTCAAGCTGGTCTTCTCAATGCGGGAGCATTCAGTGCCAGGACCTTGCATTTTCACGCTTGTCCAGCCTTGCGTTTTTAGCTTGTCCCGCCCTGGGGGTTAGGAAACCTAGTGTTTTCACGCTTGTTCCGCTCAGGGGCCTTAGGAATCCATTCTTTTCAACTCTGTCCCGCTCTAGGGCGTTAGGAACCCATTCGTTTTCACGCTTGTCCTGCTATGAGGCGTTAGGCACCCGCGTGGTTGCAGACCTGTCCCGCTCTAGGGCGTTTTCTGGGAGTGCCAGATGCCTTGTCCAGGGGACCCTACCCCTGGCGACATTCTCGACGATGGGCGTGCGTGCTTGCAAGATCCCGAGTGTCTTTGGGCGATGCTTCCAAACAACACCCCGCGCCCGCACGCGAGCCGTTATGTTTGCATCGGAGAGCGCCGCCAGGTTGCGGCGGTGGGCGTGTGCTCGCCGGGCCTGCTGGACTTCGAGAGGGGTCGGATCAAGGATTGCGGGGAGAGCAAGAGGAAGGCACAGACGATGGAATTCGCCACGGAGGGGACAGGGGCCTTGCAGGCGAGGGGATCTTGAAGGGGTCAGGCCGTTTTCTGACTCCGTCTGGCCCCCTCTGTGCACTGTTCGGGGTTGAGGCACTTGTCCGGGTGAAAGCCCAGGGTTCCAGGGATCGCTTTCACCAGGATTCCTTTCGCACATGCTGGCGAACGATTGCACCACTTCTTATGCGCTTGCAGCACCGCCAGAACGTACTCTTAACCAACGCCCCCCAGTTCGATAATGCATCCAATGGCGCAGGATCTTGGTTTTGGGCGTGTGAGATGGTCGTTTCCGCGAGCGCAGTTCAGAGCTGTCCGCCTAATCATTGGCAAATCATATGCGTCCGGTTCCTGGGAAGCTTCAATTTCGGAGGGAGAGATGCATGGGGAGAGATTGACAATGCGATTTTTAGACCGTGTATAGATGGATCAAATGGGTCGGTATGCGTGTACCCATGTCTATGTATACATGTATGTATAGTGGTTGTCACCTTGCGATATGGGCGAATCGATGTATATATTGATAGACATACTCGTTGACAGACAACTCGGTCGATGTGTGTATATATATACATACATACAGATATACACATGGCCATGGCTGTGTGTATGTATACACCGAGAGTTTGATCATCATATCGATGGGTCTAGTTATGTTGCTTGATACTGCGAGGTGACGAAACTATGAATTGCTTGTTCTCTGATACTTTTAAGTAACTATCAACCATAGGGCGGCCAACCGTTTTCGTTGTTTGTATCTTCAGCTCGCCAGAGCAGTTTGTTTAGCATTCGTGTTCGCAGCGTTGCTCTGGCCCATGCCATTCGATTTCCAAATTAAGTTCGAAGGCGCTGCGGCTTCTCCCCTCTGGCCACGGGAAACGCAAGCGCGTTATCGTTTTCCTTATTCGGGATTGGAATTCCAGAGGGTCGTAATGTCATTTTAATGTCACTGATATTTGAATCGCATGTATTGCTAGTTCTTCTTTTCGTTTTAATGTCATTACCGTGTAACTGAGTGATGCCGTCTAAGTTCCGCTGTGCAGTCTAGTTGCCATGCCGTCTTACCTTCGCCTCAATGGCACTGCAGTTTCGCCTCCATACTGTCCTGACCTCGCCTCGAGTTCGACGGAGTGTGCGCCGCAAGCGTTCTCCGCGCGCGTGCTCGTAGCCCCCTGTGGACGCGGCAAGCCTCGTGTAAGCGACCCGGCGGCCGCTGTGCGGCCGCGGGCGCGGGCTTGCGGGGGCGGGCGCGCGGTGATGCGGCGGGGGCGGGACTGCGGGCCTGCGGTCGTGAGGGCGCGATCGCGCGGGCGCGGGCGCGGGTGCGAGGGGTGGCGGTAGGGGGGGGGGGGGGCGGGAGGGGGCGGGCACGCGGGGGACGGCGGCGGGCGCGTGCTTCGGGCTTCTGGCTCCGGTCATCTTCCGGCGGGCGTGGTCGTTTTCGTTGTCGTAGCCTGTGCCGTTTCTCGCATGCGCTCGTTCTCGTTTTCGAGTTTCATTTTGTCGCGGTGCCAGGGCAGCACACATGTCGAGGGGCAGGGTCCGGGGGGGCCCAGGCCAGAACCTCGACCACAATTGGGAAGACTGGGGCGCCCCGCCAAGTCGACGCCGAGGGTGATCAGGCAGCCGTCAAGACGATCCACGGCGGCCTCGAGTCGTCCCAAGACGACGGCCTCCAGATGTTTCAGACAGCTCACTCGGCGCCTCCAGCCCAAATTGCATCCAAGACGCCCCGAGTGCCCCAGGAGACCTTCCAAGGCGGCTCCAGGAGGCCGAGCTCATGATTGCGAATGCCGTACGGCCGGCGCCGCCGACCCTGAATGGCGACGACGACGACAACGATGACGACGAGCGCTCTCGCTTGGGGGCCTGTTGGGAGGCTCTTGGGGGCCGCTTGGGAGCCTCGTGGGGCCTCGTGGGAGCCTCGTGGGGGCCGCTTGGGGGCCTCCTGGGGGTCTCTCGGAAGCATCCTGGGGCCTCTTGGGGGGGCATATTTCCAGGCCTCTGGGGGCTTCCTGGGAGCTTCCCAGGTCGAGGGCTCGAGGTGACCGCTCGGGTCCCCCCGTCGGAGCTCCCTCCTGGGGCCGTCTTGGCTGCCTCTTCGGCGGTCCTGGATGCTTCTTGGGCGGTCCTGGAGCCCTCTTGGGTCGTTGTGGGGCCCCCTGGGAGGCCTCTTGGGCCATCTTGGGGCAGTCTTGGGGGCCTTTCGGCCTGTCTTAGAGCGTCGGGCAGCTGACAAGGCGAGAATGCCGAAATCTTCTGAAAAAACCGGAGGGGAACCCATGATTTTTGCCCCTTGGGGCCCTCTTGGAAGTCCTCTTGGGGGCCTCGTGGGGCGTTTTGGGACTTGGACCCTACTTCGGCGATGCGGGGCCCTCGAGGACCGTCTTGGGGGCATCCTGGGGCATTTTTGCCGTGTCTGGGGGCTTTGTTGGGCCCCCCAGCCGCTCGGGGGGAGTCTAAAACAGGGCTAGGATCGGGATAAATCGCTCCAGAGCGTTCCGGAGCGCTCTCAGAGCGTTCTCTGGAGCGGCCGCGGCGCCCAATACATCGTCCAACCCCGCCGATTCTCAGAGATTTCGAGTTATCCCGATCCGATTTTGTCCCGATCTTCGCGTCGTTTTAGAGTCGTATTTGGGTGTCGACCCCACCCAGGACCCTCTCCCACGGCGGGGAAGGGGTCAAAGGGACGGGGCCTCCCTTCGACTCGGCTACTCAACGTTTCTCTATTTCGCTGTGGCTGGCGCGCTCGAGGAGGAGGGCCTGGTGAAAGTGGGGGGAGCGGCGACGGGCCTAGGGAAAGGGGAGCGGAGCGGCGAAGGCGACGACGACGACGACGACGACGACGACGACGAGTCAAACGGAACAGCCTCTTTCACGCACCGACACGGTCGGCAGAGTTCTCTTAGGTTTTTGAAGGTTTCTAGGGTTTTCGCTTTTTCGGGACTCCGACGGTCAGGAGCGAAAAAAGGACGTACATGTACATGAATCCACGTTGGTTTCGAGAGCACGCATTGCACAAATGTTCTTACAACGCGGCCGGTCTCGCGAATCGAGGGGCCATGTTCATGTACATAGCTGGGCGCGTACGTCCTTTGTGGGCTCCCTAGACGGCCCAAGACGGCTCAAGAGGCGCCACAAGTCGTCCAAGGACGACCCAAGAGGCCTCAAAGAAAGCCTCAAGAAGGCCTAAAAGAGTTCCAAGATAGCCAAAAAAGGGCCCCACTAATTTCCCCAAGAGAGGCCCAAGGCGCCCCGGGAGAGCCCCAGGAGGGCCCCCGAGAGAGCCCCAACAAGAGGGCCCCCACGAGAGCCCCACGACGGCCAAACCACCCCGAGACGACCCCGAAGGGCCTCCGCAGCCGTTCTGACTCACCCCCTGTGCGCCAGCAGAGCGCAGGGCGTGGCCCGGCCGCACCCCTGCGCCAGCAGAGCGCAGGGATCGCCCCGCGGCCCGCGGCTAGGGTTACGTCGGGCCTGTCCCTGTACAGGGGGAAAATTCAAGAATAGTCTAAAAAATAGCCTGGGGATGATTGCTCGACTATATTTTGAGCATGTTGGGCGTATTCTTGTTGGCTGGGTTGTACTTGTCGCTCAACATCCGCCTGTAGGGGGACACGCCCGACCGAAGGCCACCCTGACCTTCCAGATAACTATGTTTTAGCACTGGAGACCCAAAAACCTAAAGAACTAAACGAAACAGCCCAAAACCAAGACGTAGAATAGCTCTGGGACAGGTTTTCAGGTCGGGTGCTGTTTTGTTTAGCCCTCCTGGAAGGTCAGGGTTGGGGGGACACGCCCGACCGAAGGCCAGGGGCCCCTCCTCGCCGCCCGCGGGCCGACGGCCCGATGGTGAGAGCCCAGCTCTCCCCGGGGATCGCCAAGCCCTTGCTCCACGAGGCTCTGGCGGACCACGGCGCGCCCCCGTGGCCCTGCGGCCTGCCGCCCGGGGGGGCGACGGACCTGGACCTGACGGCGCCTGGCAGGCGGTCGGCCCCTCCTCGTCCTCCTCCTCCGCCTCCGCCTCCTCCTCCTCCTCCTCCTCCTCCTCCTCCTCCGCCTCCTCCGCCTCCTCCTCCTCCGCCCTCCTCCTCCTCCTCCTCCTCCTCCCCTCCTCCTCCTCACCTCCTCCTCCTCCTCCTCCTCCTCCTCCTCCTCCTCCTCCGCCTCCTCCTCCTCCTCCTCCTCCTCCTCCTCCTCCTCCTCCTCCTCCTCCCCCCGCCAGTTCGCCGCCGAGCAGCAGCGGGAAGGCGAGCAGCCAGGAGGAGGTGCTGCCGCCCGGGCGGGTCGTGGGGGCGACCCGGCTGTCGCAGCGCGGCGCGCAGCAAACCAGGCTGCCCAGCCGCACCGACCGGGCTCAGAAGAGCCGCATGAAGCTCGGGGACGCCAAGGGGGGGGGGGGATGACTAGGGGGGGGGGGTGGATCTCATGGCTTGGGCCATGCCATCTCCTCAGATTTCATGGCGCTTCTTCTTATTTCATTACGTGCCTAGCCCCCCTCATGGGCCGCGCACATGCCGCCGGCCATGATTTGCACCACCTCCTCTTGGACGCCCCCCTCTTGGCCGCCCCCGAGAAGCCCGCGGTCGTTATCCCCGCCGACCTGGAGGCGGCGCGGGTCACCGCGCTCAGCGGGGGCGGCCTGAGTGGGTGCACCACCGTCAGGCTGAAGAATGTGGAGCCGTCGCTCATGCCAGCCACGGCCATTGCCGCACTCAACGCCAACGGGTTCGAGGGCATGTTCGACTTCGTGCACGTGCCCATGGACATGAAGAGGATGAAGAACAGGGGCATACTCTTCATCAATCTTATCGATCCTGCGACAGCGGATGCGATGTACCAGTCCTTCCACCACCAGACGATGCCTGGAGTCAGTCTGGCGGGTAAGACGCTGGAGATCACGCCAGCATACGTTCAGGGCTTCAAGGAGAACTTCGACCTGCATGTGGAGTCCGAGGCTCCATTCCTTGAGTGTTTCCGTTGTGTACTCTAGTCGGCCACGAGCCCACCTGAGAGCGTCTAGCAGGCGTGCGCTACCCGAAGCGATGCTTCGTCTGCATGGGGATCGAGTTTGCCTTCCGCAGTTCCGGTCCTTATTGTAGGGCGTACTTGGAAATTGCCGAGGGAGAACTTGCCCGAGGAAGTGTTGTCCCCTCGTCGGAGCGCGCTCTTCAAGCGTCGAGACATGTGTATAGTCCGTGCCTGCGGGCTGACGCCCTGAGTGATCGTCATGGCTCTTGCAGGGCACGTGCTTGACGCGGGGAGGCGGTGAGTTTCGTTTTGTCGCGCCGCGTAAGAGTCTACGAATTCGACATGGCGCGCGCACGGGTGCGCGGGTGAGGGTGAGGAGGGAAAGGATGTGAGGCGGCTGGTCTTGATCTCATGTATTTCCGCACCTGTTGGTACGTTTGCAATCGCGTTCCCCCCACCATGTGCGCGCATGACCATATATATATATATATATGATGTTCACTGCGACGGCCACGCATGAGACGCAGGCCTGTGCCTATTTCGCAGCTCTTCCATTGGATGGCCGCTGGAGCACGCTGAACTTCACGCATTAGGATAAGCATTGAAATGAGTACCCCAAGGGATGTATTGAAATCGAGGGACAGTACGGCATTGGTTCAAACAACTGTGATTCACATGGCGGGGGGCGAAAATATCAGAGTCCATTGTGTGGTTGCTTCCTTGGCACACTTCGCGCAAAGGAGAAACACTATAGGTTCCTGCCATGTCCTTTTAGGTTAAGGTTTGCAATTTAATGTGTTTACGGTAAAGTTAAACGGTTATACGCCTTCATTGTCGCAGTTCTGTTACTTGTAGCATCCGTGCTCGGATGCAAACGCACGGGGTGCGTTGACTAGGGTTTCACTTTATTCCAGTTGTGCACATGCCTGCTCTATTACACGTCGAGCGTGCATCGCCGTGTTCTTCATTCAGTGCGAGTATAAGTTTCAAGCAGATGAGGCGCTTGGCCATGTGTTTGATCATGTCGACTTGTGCTGCTTTAAAAAAGGACGCAACATATGGTTCCGAGCGATCCCCATTACAGGCTTCGGTGTTGATTCTTGACGGTGCGCGCGCCTCTTGGAACGGCAAAGTCTGTCATGGTTGGTTATCTTGTGTGCGATTAGTTTGTACTATTTTTCCTATTTCCAGATAGGGCGTACGTGCTATGTTCTTGCCAGCTCTGTATGGTACGTGAACGCCGTGTCTGTTCCACACATGTGTACGCAATAGTGTATGCATGCTATGTTGTGTGTTTTTCTGTTGTAGTGATGGCAGCAAAAAATAGTACACGTGTTTTCAGTAGTAGTAGTAGTAGTAGTAGTCGTAGTAGTAGTAGTAGTAGTAGTAGTAGTCGCAGTCGTAGTCGTAGTCGTAGTCGTAGTAGTCGTAGTAGATGTAGTAGTTGTAGTAGTCGTAGTAGTAGTAGTAGTAGTGGCAGTAGTAGTAGTTGTAGTAGTAACAGTAACAGTAGTAACAGTGGTAGTCGTCGTAGTAGTAGTCGTAGTAGTAGTAGTAGTAGTAGTAGTAGTGGTGGTAGCCGTAGCAGGTACGTACTAGCTGTACTAGCAGAAGTTCTCGTAGTGGCAAACTGGCGTGCCGTCGTCACGCCTGTCACGAATGATACGCCGTCAAATCGGTCGTTGTTCCGCTTGTTTGGTCCAGTGGCCAGCCCAACCTTGGCGCGCACGTCGCGTTCGATACAGTTACAGTACGGTATGTTATGTCATGATGGTCCAATTCCTTCCAAAGTATGTACGTTTGTTCTGCGTCACTGCTTTATGTCATGATGTGTTCTGCCAGGATATAAATGCCATGTAATGCGTTGTTCAGTGTTGATGGTTATGTTATACTGAGTTCATCGCAGTCGATGTTGATGTTGCTCTCTTCTGATATACCCTTTGAATCACGGTTTTCAGGATTGCTGTCGCAGTGGTATCAGCAGTTAGCAGACATGGTATGCTATGATTGCTGCGTTGTGACCTGGTCGTTATTTGATACAATGGTATGTGTTGTCATGCTAGTCCTCTGTGTCATGTTAACGTCTACGATGTGTTAGTACATTTGTTGTCGTCGTGGTCCCAGCAGTAAGAATAGTCTGGTACGCCTTGCTATGATACGTTATGCTATGATGTGCCTGAGTATGCTCCGCCGAAGCTAGTGTATACGTTCTTATGCTGTGTGATGCCCGATGTTCCGTTCTGCTATGGTCTGTTCTGTCATGGGATGGCATGCTATGCCATGTCCTTATCTGCTAGATTAGCTGATGGTGTTCCGCGATATGGTATGGCATCCGTTGCCATGATATTGAGTGTTGCGAGTTTTGATATGTGGGAATGTGTTGTGGCAAGATATGACATGGCATCGATTGAACTGTTATACTGTGCTATGTTATGATATGGTAAACACTGCCCGTTCGGTTATGGCATGCGGTGTTATCATATGTCATGTATGCCCCGTTCTGTCATAGCACGCGCTGTCAGTATGTGCCATGCTATGTTATGTTATGATCAGCTGTTATGTGTGGTGGGTTGTAAAGTTACGGTGTATCGAAGAAGCCCGCGGCGAGTCGCCGCCGCCGTCCTGCCTTTTGGAATCGCCCACGTGGCCGAACGTTGTGGCCGGAGCTCTGCCAAGTTATCGGACCGTGTGTTTCCTCTGCCGTTGTGGAAGTCCTTCGGGGAACGCGCGGGGGAGACAGAAGAAGCGAGGAGAGGGAGGTAAGATTGAGAGGAGGAGGAGAAGGAGGAGGAGTAGGAAGAAGAGGCTGAGGAGGAGGACGAGGAGTGTTAATGAATGGGCGACCACTGATGACGACCTGGGGGACGGGAGGAGAGATATCGAGTTGCTTCAGCAGGCTGAGGACATGTCCGTGCCTCTACGCGCATGGGGCACCCAGAGCCAGACAGGGCTGCGGGGAGGGGGCACGGGAACGGAACGCCCGAATAGAGAGAGAAAGGAGAGGGAGCCCCGGGCCCCGAGAGGGGGGACACGGAGACAGGAGGACTCTTGGGGCTTTGTGGGAGCTTTTTGTGGGCCTCTCGGAGGCCTCTTGGAAGCCTCCTTGGGCCTCTTGGGGGCCTTGGGGCCTTCGGGGGGCACGGGAACGGAGAGCCCGAAGAGAAAGAAAGGAGAGGGAGGCCCGGGGCGGTGGTCCTGTAGGCGCATGTGTGACAGTGTGCGGAATTGCATATAGATGTGGGGTTCGATTCGCATGTCGCACATGGCAAGCACGAGGCAACCCACGAAGTGACTTGCTGAACAAACTTCGGGGCAACCAGGTGGATAACCACGAGACAATCATTGGACAACCATCGAGACAATCCGTGCGACAACTGCGGGACAACCCACAGCACAATCCACCCGACAATCCACGAAACTGCCCGCGCGACACCCACCCACAAAACAGACCAGACATCCCACAGGACAACCGCGGGACAGCTCGCGAGACCACCGCTGAACAACCCACGAAACAACCCGCGGGACAACCCGCGGGACAACCGCAGAAAAGCCCACGGGACAAACCATGGGACAAACCCCGTGGCCCACCGATAATTTACGCGTCCGGTTTGGTGTTCGCTTCGGCCAGCACATCACCGCCCATGCGCAGCACTTCTTCTCCCGCCCACGCGGGACGAACCGAGACCGAAACCCGACCTCCTGGTTCGGGCCACGTCCGTCGCACCAGCCAACTTCCGATCCACTTCCTCCTTTGCCCTCCCATCCACATCCGTTCCTCCCCCATCTCCCCTAGCGTCGTCCGGCTGATCCTCCTCGTTTTCCTCCGTCCATGACGGCGCCATTGCAAGCCCGTGCCAAGGCCAGATCAGCAATCCATGAGATGAGATGGTGTGTTAGATGCCCACGTTTGGTGCGATCATCTGCCGACTTCGCCGAAGTTTTGTCTGGTCTCTTCATGCGCATCACCGAGAGGTCGGTCGTTTTAATGTTGGGGCTTGGGAGTTTTTCGGGCTTGTGAGTTGACTGCGCCACATCCACCCTCCGCCATGATATTTCCCATTGCGCGCTCCTTGGGCAACCCTCCTCGCCATCATCATCCTCCTGCTGTTGTCTTCCGTCCCCGTCTTCAGTTGCCCCCGTTCTCTCGCTCCTTGTGGCCTTCCAGTCTGTCCCTCGATCGGTGCCGCCCGTTTTCCCAGGCAGTTGAGGCTCGACATCAGCACGCGTCCACATAGTTATATGTTGATTCGAGCGACCCCCATCCAAACCTGGCGGATTCGGCATGCAGTAGTGCGAGGCAGTTCGGGGGCTCTTCTCTTTTAATTCGACAGCCCCAACCTTTCGGGTGCGGAAATGTCCCCCCCCCCCACGCACACACGCACGCACGCGCGCGCACACGCACGCGCGCACGCACGCACGCACTCACGCACCCGCACACACACACACACACACACACACACACACACACACACACACACACACGCACGCACGCACGCACGCACGCAGGTACGCACACGCACACGCGCACGCACGCACGCACTCACGCACGCACCCAGACACACACACACACACACACACACACACACACACACACACGCGCACGCACGCACGCACGCACGCACGCACGCACGTACGCACACACCCACGCACGCACCCACGCACGCACGCGCAAGCGCGTGCCGCGCGCGCGTGCGCGCGCGCACACGCACACGCACGCGCACGCGCACCCACACCCACACCCACACCCACACCCACACCCACACCCACGCCACCCACGCCCACACGCACGCGCACGCGCACACCCACAACACACACACCACCCACAACACCCACGCCCACACCTACACCCACACGCACACGCACGCGCACGCGCACGCGCACGCGCACACGCGCACGCGCGCACGCGCACGCACACGCGCACGCGCGCACGCGCGCACACGCGCGCACACGCACGCACGCACGCACACACGCACACGCGCACGCACGCACACACGCACACGCGCACACGCGCACCCGCGCGCACACACGCGCACCCACGCACGCACTTACGCACACGCACGCACGCGCGCACACATACGCGCACACATACGCGCACGCGCGCACGCGCATACGCGCACACGCGCGCACGCACGCGCGCGCACACGCGCACACGCGCGCACGCGCACACGTGCACGCGCGCACACGCACACACCCACGCGCGCACACACGGTCGCGCGCACACACACGCACACGCGCACGCGCGCACACGCGCACGCGCGCGCGCACACTCACACGCGCACACGCGCACACGCGCACACGCGCACACGCACACACGCTCACACGCGCACGCGCGCACGCGCACACGCGCACGCGCGCGCGCCCGCACGCGCGCACACGCGCATGCGCGCACACGCGCGCACGCGCACAAGCGCACGCGCGCAC